TACTAACGCTAATTACACCTGACAACCACCACTTTACAGTTCAGTATACTTAAATAAATGATACATATGTATTTTGAATGTGAAATGGATACATACATACATACAGATACACATAAATAAATACATACATACATACATACATACATACAGATACACATAAATACATACATACATACATACATACATACATACAGATACACATACATACATACACACAGACATACATACATACATACAAACAGATATACATACAGACACAGACAAAACACAAATACATACATACATACATAAACAGACACACACATACATACACACAGACAGAGATGTCCTTTGACGTGTGTTCAGGAGCTGTCACCTGGTAGTAGTGTTTATCTATAACACATATTACCTGTTATTTAACCGACCGACGCTCATGTTAGTTGTCCAATGGTGTCAGTTGTGTCCAATGGCGCCAGTTGTGTTGCTAGCTGTTCAATGGTGCGAGTTGTGTTGCTAGCTGTCCAATGGTGCCAGTGGTGTCTAATGGTACTAGTTGCGTTGGTTGTTGTCCAATGGTGCCAGTGGTGTCCAATGGTACCAGTTGCGTTGGTTGTTGTCCAATGGTGCCAGTGGTGTCCAATGGTACCAGTTGCGTTGGTTGTTGTCCAATGGTGCCAGTTATGTCCAATGGTGCCAAAATACCCACAGAAACCCTCGTGTTCTTAAAAGTAAAACCCAGTAAAACCCAGTGACTCTTTCTCCCACTGAGGATTTTTTTTAGAGAAGTGTTTGGTCTCTAGTTCTCTAAAATTGGGTCCAACTAAGAGTTTCAAAAACTCCCTGAAATCGTGGGTTTCTAAATGTCTTATTAAACACGCTGATGTTTTCTTCGTGGTTTCTAAATCAGGATCTTAAGTTGAGTTCCGAAAACTTCTTGACACTAGGAGTTTTCTAATAGCCTGTACGAGTTAAAAGACCGTTCTGGCTAGCTTAGTGATATCGGAGTGGTTTCTATGGCTGGGGGTTTCTATTTATCTGGTTCTTGGTAATTAGAAGTTGTTGCTGTTATCAAATTGGTTTCTAGATGTAGTCCAGATTGTTTTTTTTTCAGCTGTGTTCTTGATTTTTATTTTTTATTTTGGTCTCGGATGGTTTTAAGTGGTCTCGGATGGTTTCTATCGGATCTCTAGTGATTATTAAGGTCTCGAATGGTTTTTAAGAGGTCTCGAGTAGTTCTATCTGGTCTCAAATGGTTTTAAGTGGTCTCTAATGGTCTCTAATTCACAACCACAATATTACCTGCTCTTCGTTCCTGTTCTACGTTCATGTCTCTTGAATAAACCCGTCCCTGTAGTGAAGATGTTCAATGTTCTTCTTGGGATAATAGAACAGGTGTGAATGTTCCTTTTGGGAAAATAGAACACCTGAATGTTCTTCTTGGGATGTGAGAACACCTGAATGTTCTTCTTGGGATGTGAGAACACCTTTTAGAGTTCTTCAAATCTTAGAACACCTTTTGATAACACTGACCAACATCTGTCACCACCACGAAGGCAGAAGACAGGTGAGTGTTAATAACTTTCAATTAGTCACAGCCAACAGGTAGATACAGGTGTTTAGAAGTCCTCGTGGCTAACTCAGAGGTTGGCGAGGCCCTTGTGGCTGTTGGCGAGTCACTGTAGTCTTGTTGAGTCACTGTAGTCTTGTTGAGTGACTCTGGGTCTTGTAGAGTCACTTTAGGCCTTCATGAGTCACACTGGGTATTCGTGAGTCAATCTAGATATTAATGAGTCACTTTAGGCCTTCATGAGTGTCTCTGAGTCTTGTTGAGTCACTCTGAGTCTTCGTGAGTCACTTCAGACCCTGTTCAGTCACTTTAGGCCTTGTCGAGTCACTTCAGGCCCCAGTGACTGACTCTTCAACACCTGATGAAGTGACTATAAGGACCCGGGCGACGGAGCACAGGGCGACGCTGCTGGCGAGTGAGTGAGGCGGGTGGCGAGTGAGTGAGGCGGGTGGCGAGTGAGTGAGGCGGGTGGCGGGTGGCTGCGGGTGGCGGGTGGCGCTGGAGCGAGGTCGACCAGCTGACTGAAGAGGTGAGTGAGGGGGAGCTACAGGTCTCTCTCTCTCTCTCTCTCTCTCTTTCTCTCTTTATCTCTCTCTAACGCAACAGGTGGGCCTTCACGCAGCCACTGGGAGGAGGAGGAGGAGGAGGGGAAGGAAGACGAGGAGGAGTGGAGGTAAAGGTAGAGGAAGGAAAGGGGAGGATTGGGGAGGAATAAGGAAAGGAAGGAGGGAAGGAGGAAAGGGAGGAGAAAAGGGAAAGTGTTAAGAGGAGGAAGAGGGAAAGGAGGGAAGGAGGGAAGGAAGGAGGAGGGAGGGAGGATGGTCTAAAGGTAAAGGTGTGGAAGGGGAGGGGAGGGGAGGGAGGGGGGGGAGGGGTAGGGTTGTTTTCTACCTGACTGGAGGAGAGAAGCAGGAGAGGGAGGGAGGAAAGGGAAGGAAGGGAAGTGGGGGACGTATGGGGAGAACGTCACGCAGGTCCTCTGGTAAAAATATTAAGCCATATGTGTCAATAACATTCGAGGTGAACCGTGGTGGTGGTGGCGGTGGTGGTGGTACTGGTGGTGCTGTTGGTGGTACTGGTGGTGGCGCTGGTGGTGGTGGTGGTGGTGGTGGTACTGGTAGGTGGTGGTGGTGGTGGTGGTACTGGTTGGTGGTGGTGGTACTGGTGGTGGTGGTGGTACTGGCTGTGGTGGTGGCCTGGTGGTGGTGGTGGCACTGGTGGTGGTGTGGTGGTGGTGGTGATGGTGCTGTTGGTGGTGGTACTGGTGGTGGTGGTACTGGTGGTGGTGGTTGTTTTGATAGTGGTAGAGGAGATAGTGGTTGCTAGAGATAGTAGACCCCATTCTACATTAAGTTGGGGTCTAATAGGACTGACTGGGGGGGTGGGTTTGTGATCATCCTGGCCAAGAAATACAATTATCCTTCATACCATCATCCTATTTTCCTCGTGAATAAAAAAATAAATAAATATATAAACAAACAAAATAAAACGAGAAAAAATATAACAAACTTCAACAGAATATTTTTGTTTATAGCGAAAAAAAAAAATAACGATAAATTTCTTCACCAATGAACGCTAGGCATGACGTCATCAGAAGAAAGCAGTTCGTGGTAATCTTATCAACATAAAACCTCCCAATAATCAACACGGTGAGGTAGGCTAATGTTGTTTATGTCAAAATAAGTCTCCAGGATTTTAAAATGGGTGAGGTTAGGTTAGGTCAGGTCAGGTCAGGTCAGGTTAGGTCAGGTCAGGTTAGGTTAGGTCAGGTTAGAGAAAAAGAGAGATAGTTTTTCTTGTCATTTAATTTCCCATTTTCTTCTCTTTATAATTCTCTCTCTCTCTCTAGCTATCTCCCATTCTCCTCTCTCTCTCTACTAAACACCACACACAATACACTGTCTCTCAGCACTTCAGCTTACTCGCCAGACAAGAGAATTTTTAGAAAGGTCGACGCTTACAGAGGCTCAGACCCGAGTCACAGCAACCAGTGACCTAATAATAAGTGACATCTAGAACTCTCAGTCCTAGCCCCCCTGCCTCCCTCCAAGAACCTAATCCCTCAGCCCTCTCCCTTACCTATGTAAAAAATACTAACTCAAAACCAACTCTCTTGTAGGTCTATAAGAAAAACATATAGGCCTACACTAGGATATTAATTTTATCCCTAAGAGATATACCCTAGAGGATTGTGACTGGTCCAGTGGATTGGGTTCCTATAAGTCTTAAGATTCAACTAAGTAGGAGGTTATTAGTGCTGGGGACCGTGTGTGTGTGTGTGTGTGTGTCTGTGTGTGTGTGTCTGTGTGTGTGTGTCTGTGTCTGTGTGTGTAATCATCAGCTCTCTATAACGACAAGATTTATTTTCTCTTAAGATTATACAAAAAAATTTAATGGTATTTCAAACAATCTTAGTCTCCCCCTTCGCAACCCGTTTTCTCTGGTACCATTTATAACCCGTTTTCTATGATGTAATTCGTGGTTGTTGTTTTTTTCTCTCATTAAAATAATCTACTATACATTTCCCTTGTAGATGAAACTTAATTAATTACAATATACGTATTATTAATCTCCTAGAAATGACTTTGAATATAATACTCTCAAAATATGAAAAATAAAATTCGTGCAATGATGAGTTCTCACAGCTGACGATGTTAACACACTAAAACACCCACAGAGTCGAAAATCCTCAACCAAATTGTCATGAGACTTTACATTATGGCGTTCACTTAACATTATTTACGGAAGAAAATTAACACAGGGAATCTTTGTGAATACGAACCTAAGATTTGTCATTAAGATACGTTGTAAATTTCCTTCGTATTGTCATTCTTATAATTGCTTCGTTAGGGTTCAGTGAGGGGGCGCTTTAAACCCTTTAAAGACGATGGTTTAAACTATTACCCTTTAAGGATGATGTGGTTTACGTTTTAACCCTTTGAGGACGATGGTTTAAGTTATAATCCTCGTAAATCAAATTAGTATCATTGTAAAAGGTTAAGATAAGAATTAATGAAAGGAATCGAAAACTGAGAGAGAGAGAGACTGAACACTCATAAACAGCGACCAATACTCACAATAACAGAGTCCCCCCTCCCTCAAGCATCTCTAATTCTTCCGTTTTCTATGTCACTTATTCTTCCGTTTTCTCTCTTATTCCTCCGTTTTCTATATTTACTCCTGACTCAATTAAAATCTTTTAATACTCTTATTTTAAACCCTGAATTAATTTACGAATGTTAATCTGGTGTACAGGTGAAGTGGGCTAATTAACCTCTACTTCCAAGGTAATTACAGGTGCTAATTAAAATTGATTTAGGAGATTATTAATAAAGTTTGAGGTGGTGATAGATTAAGGTAAGATATTTCTATATAAATAATGACCTCGATGGTGTGTGTGTGTGTGTGTGTGTGTGTGTGTGTGTGTGTGTGTGTGTAGGGGTGGATATTCTTCAGGTGATAATTTTTTACGTTTCATTTCACTAATTAACGACTCAGGTGTGCTCAGGTGTGCTCTTACAACCCCAGGTAAGAAGGATAATGATGTTAGGTTAGGTGGTAAAGCTGTTCATTCACCTGTAGACTGAAACCTACAGGTAATTTACATCGGCACACACCTCACCTGTAATTAAGGATGTACAGGTGAGAGTGGTCGTTTTATGGCCCATGAATATTATTAGATATCAAGGTTGAGTTAAAGAAGGGGAGAGAGAGATGGGGAGAGAGAGAGATGGGAGGAGAAAAAAGGGGGGAGGGAGAGAGGGAGGAGAAAGAGTTGAGAAGGAAGACATAGAAAGAAAGAAGGCAAACAGAGGAAGAGTGGAGAAGCCAGAGAGAGAGAGAGAGAGGGGGGGGGGAGACATCTGACTGCGGTGTGTTGGAACGTAACAGGTGAAGAATAATGAGGTACAGGTGTCAGTAATTAACGTTTATCAGGTGTACTATCTATCTATCTATTTATCTATCTATCTGTTTGTCTATCAGTCTGTTTATCTGTTTTTCTATCTTATTTTACCAGTCTTCCTGTCTTCTGTTTGTTTACCCGTCTCTCTGTCTATGTCTGTCTGTCTGTCTGTCTGTCTCTCTCTCTGTCTCTCTGTCGTAGGAACTATTGTTAGTGTAGATCATAGAAGACCATCGATATAATAGACTTTCATCTCTATATTATTCGTTAGAGAGAGAGAGAGAGAGAGAGAGAGAGAGAGAGAGAGAGAGAAAGAGAGAGAGAGAGAGAGAGAGAGAGATGTATGTGTGTATGTATATAAGACATCAATAACACAAACATAGGCCTAAACAGTCATCACCACATCAACTCAACCACCCCTTACGACATCAACTCATTAACTGACCCTATAAGCATCTCATCACATTAATAACATCAAAAATGACTTATTATTTAAATGTATCATACCATTAATTAGTGAACATTACTCTCTCGTCCATAAAGTAATGAGATTATGTAAGGGGGAAGGGGAAGAAGGGGAGGAAGGGGAGAATAGGGAGGGGGGGGGTAAGGTGTTTTAAAAAGGCCCCTTCAACCTTCCTCTCACACATACCACCGTCATCCCCCTCTGAGTAAACATGGTGGGGTCCCTTTTGCTGTGTTCCCTAGCCCTCATCTCTTCCTCCTTCGCCCAGGTATAGTATCATTGCCTTATGTTTACACCTCATTCTATATAAAGATTAATGATGGAAATTTGTTCTCGTGTGGGTAGTTTTCCCTTGAGGATTTTGGGTCAATTGGTTGGTTTATAATCTATTTGGGGGTTTAATATCAATTTGGGGGTTTAATATCTATTTGGGGGTTTAATATCTATTTGGTTACTTGTTTGTATCGTGAAGTGAGGTTTTGGGGAGTTGTTAGGTCAGCCTGTTGTAGGATTTTGGTCAGGTAAGATCAATTTTAGGTTTGGTTAGGTCAGCTTGTAGTAATATTTAAGTCAGGTAAGGTCAATTTTATAACATAAGGTTAGGTTAGGTAAGTGTCGTAATATTTAGGTTAAGTAAGGTCAAGTTTATTGTGAAATTGAACTTAGATCAAGGCACCTCGACCTAGACACAGCTCAAACATTCACCAACAACATCACGTGACCTCCTCCTCCTCCTCCTCCTCAGCTCCAGCCAGCGGATGAACTGACCCCAGATCACCAGGAGGCAGGCGACCTGTACCAGCACGACATAATGTTGACCCCCGAGCAGAAGGCCATCCTCCAGGGCCAGGTCAGGGGCCAGGCCAACCTCATCTTTCGCTGGCCAGAGGGCAATGATGGCTACCCCCTCGTCCCCTACCAGTTTATTGGTCAGTCTCTTGTTGGTTTGTGTGTTAACTGTGTCTTAAGTTCTCATAGTACCCCAACCTAACCAAACCTAACCAAACCTAACGAATTTTGAGTGTGAAGTTGTAACCAATCACCCTGACCCTTCCCCACTACACCCTAAAACACACAACCAATCACCCTGACCCTTACAGATGGGGTGGACGAGGCGAGCGTCACTGCAGGCATCCAACACTGGGAATCAAAGACGTGTATCAAGTTTGAGCAGCGACAGGGCACCACCGACCCACACATCAAGTTCGAGGTGCTCAGTGGGTGTTGGTCTTATATAGGCTACCTGGGATGGCATGCAGACCACGTCAATGGCCAGACTGTGTCCATAGGGTCTGGCTGTTCCTCGGTAAGTCAGGGTGTGAAATAAGGGCATCAAAGTGTAAAATAAGGGCATTACGGCATAAATTCATAACTTAATCAAACATATCTTCACCACTGTACTGTACTTCTTATACCAGCTGGGTGTAGTGACTCATGAGATCGGACACGCCATAGGGCTGTTCCACATGCAGTCATCCCCCGCCAGAGACGACTTCGTGTTGGTACTCTACGACAACATACTGGACGGGAAATCCTCAAACTTCGATAAACAGACAGTCCAACAGACCAACTACCACGGCGTTCCTTATGACTACACCTCAAACATGCACTACAGTAGTTTTGTAAGTTACTGTACCCTCTGTATTACCTCCGTCAATGTTGGTATTTTACACGTTCCTCCTCGGTCAATGTTGGTATATCACGTGTTCCTCCTCGGCCAATGTTGGTATATTACACGTTCCTCCTACTCTCTCTGGTTCATTCCTCAGACATAACATCTCTTAACTTCTCAATACATATAAGACATCCTAATACATCTTTATGCCAAGTAAATATATTTCTCACCCACCTGTAAGACATAGCAGACAGGTGTGATGTATACAAGTGGGTAAAGCCACGTTAAGGGTTCCTCCACTCCTGCTATCTCCATTAAGTTCCTCCCCCATCCATTAAGTTCCTCCCCCTGCTATCTCATTAAGTTCCTCCTCCTGCTATTCATTAAGGGTTCCTCCCTCCTGCTATCTCCATTAAGGGTTCCTCCCTCCTGCTATTCATTAGGGTTCCTCCACTCCTGCTATCTCCATTAAGGTTCCTCCCTCCTGCATTCCATTAGGGTTCCTCCCTCCTGCTATCTCCTTTCCTCCACTCCTCTATTCATTAAGTTCCTCCCCTCATCTCCATATCTCCCCTCATTCTTAACCTCCCCTCTATTCCATTTTCCTCCACCCTCATTCCATTAAGGTTCCTCCTCCTGCCATTCCATTAAGGTTCCTCCCTCTCTATTCATTAATTCCTCACCCTATCTCCATTAAGTCCTCCTCTCTATTCCATTAAGTTCCTCCCCTCATTCCATAAGTTCCTCCCCCTCATCTCCATTATTCCTCCACTCCTGCTATCTCATTAAGTTCCTCCACCCTCTATTCATTAAGGTTCCTCCACCCTGCTATCTCCATTAGGTTCCTCCACCCTGCTATCTCCATTAGGTTCCTCCACTCCTGCCTATCTCCATTAAGGGTTCCTCCACCCTGCTATTCATTAGTTCCTCCCCTCCATCTCCATAGGTTCCTCCACTCCTGCTATCTCCATTAAGGGTTCCTCCACTCCTGCTATTCCATTAAGGGTTCCTCCACTCCCTGCTACATCTCCATTAAGGGTTCCTCCACTCCTGCTATCTCCATTAAGGGTTCCTCCACTCCTGCTATTCCATTAAGGGTTCCTCCACTCCTGCTATCTCCATTAAGGGTTCCTCCACTCCTGCTATCTCCATTAAGGGTTCCTCCACTCCTCCTCTCCATTAATCCCCCCTGCTATTCCATTAAGGTTCCTCCACTCCTGCTATCTCCATTAAGTTCCTCCACTCCTGCTATCTCCATTAAGGGTTCCTCCACTCCTGCTATCTCATTAAGGTTCCTCCACCCCATCTATCTCACCTATTCCATTGGTTCCTCCCCCTGCTATCTCCATTAGGGTTCCTCCCTCCTGCTATCTCCATTAAGGTTCCTCCACTCCTGCTATCTCCATTAAGGGTTCCTCCACTCCTGCTATCTCCATTAGGGTTCCTCCCTCCTGCTATCTCCATTAAGGGTTCCTCCTCCTCTATCTCCATTAAGGGTTCCTCCACTCCTGCTATCTCCATTAAGGGTTCCTCCACTCCTGCTATCTCCATTAAGGGTTCCTCCACTCCTGCTATTCATTAAGGGTTCCTCCACTCCTGCTATCCCACTTTCGACGTGTGAAACAGCAACATACGGGGACTAACCTGTAATGGAAATACAGTTATAAGCAATGGTTTAACACAATGTAACAATGAGGCATAAATGTAAAGCTGAAGACATAAACACCTCAAGAAACTGTCACTCTCTGGTACCATCTACTCGAGGGGTTACGTAGCTAAAGGAAGATTACGATTTTGAACTATTTATTTAGATTTTATTTTGTATTATTTATTTCCTTGGCTGTTATTCTCATATAATTCATAATGAAAGGCAGTCTTTACCAGCTATAACCAATCATATATAATTATACTGTATACATATATAACATATATATCGTTACCCTGCATCAGCCCTCCCAAGCATTTGAAGTTACAGGGTATCAGCCAATCAGTTCTCCCTATCACTTGACGTCCTTGTGTAATAGCCAATCAGCCCTTTCCCAGCATTTAACGTCATCGTGAAATAGCCAATCAACCCCTTCCCATCACTTGACATCATCGTATAAGACCCAATCACCCTTCCAGCATTTGACAACATCGTGTAATAGCCAATCAGCCTTCCATCACTTGACGTCACCCTGCACCAGCCAACCAACGTGTTTGTCGTGGGTGTTACAGGGCTTCAGCAAAAACGGCAAGATGACCATCGCCACCACCGACCCCAACGATCAGGGTCTCATCGGGCAGCGGACAGGCCTCAGTCACAGGGACGCTCTCCTCGTCAACCGCATGTACTCTTGCATCCGTGAGTACATCTTCACCACCACCACCACTACTACTACACCACACCAGGATATATTGTCATAGTACTGCTCCAACTAATCTGCATCTATTTTCAGTGCTATTGCAACTAGAGCATTTATTTATTGATATTTCCTTTATAGAAAAATGGTTGAGTAACTGCAGTCTGACAGTGGACTGCCCAGAACGATGGCTACCTCGGGCCATCGTGTACGTGTGTGTGTCCACGGGGTACATCTGGCACTCACTGTGACCAAATAACTGGAGGCTACTATGGTAACATCATCTCTCTGTCTTGTTGAGTTATCCCTGGGTCTTTGGCTTCATTTTCTGTTACTATTGCCTCTAGCGTTTTCTCTATTTGTTCATCCATTATCTATTTAAAAATTTTCTAATTTAATCCGTTTCCCCTGACTTGGTTGTGCAGCACGACAGGGTGGTAGTAATGCCCACATGGTCTTTTATAGTCCAGTCATCGTTCACACCACAACAGAAGAATCCAACACGATGAACTAAACCTGATTTTACTCTCACGTGGATCGACCTCACTGAGTTCAGTGACAATGTTTATATCCAGTTGGCCTTGTACTGTAGGTCACTGCTTATTGCTGCTTCACTTGTCACTGTCACTGAATAAATAACTTGGTTGACAGTGACCAACTCTCACATTGGTTGAAACTTTGGAGTTAATTTTAATTGTTTGTCTCAACTTTTATCATCAACGAGGTACAGCACCTGTATTAATGTTGTATCCAGTGACCCTTATGTTAAACCTGCCAGACACTTGAACACTGTCTTGACCTCAGTACTGTATCACCGTCACAGAGGAGCTCCGAGATGACTGTAGCCAGAACGTCACTGCTGAGGGCACCATTACCTCTCCTAACTACCCCGGAAACTACCCTGCACGTATGTATTGTGGTCACCTGCAGGTCCCCTCTACACACTCCTTGTTATACTGTACACCTGGTGTCACACTACTGTACTGTACTCACAGTTTAACTAACATGGTCGGGTGACTCACGTACAGAAACCTGCGCCACCTGGATCATTGCTCCAGAGTGTAAGGCTCCCACCATCACCTTCACCGCCTTCGACGTGCCCTGTGGTGACAAGTTGATCATCAGCACTGTCGACAGGTACTCTGGTCCCAGGTCAGTGCACAAACAAGGTCATATTTTAAGCCATTAAGGAACACTTAGTCCATGTAGACATCCTCTTATATATAACTCAGCAGACATCCTGTAACATAAGTCACCAAACACCCTCTAAGACAGGAGGTTAAGCAGACACATGAACAGACTCCGTACCGTCAACAGTAACTGCGGCGACCAGATCACTTCAGGACAAACCTTCACCGCCTCTACCAATGAGATGGTGTTGCAGTTCTTCGCCGCGTCCACCTCCCATACTGGCTGGTCCGCCAATCTCACCTTCACTGACATAGTGGACTGTGTCAAGTGAGTATAAGGGAGAAGTGAGTTATTTATTATTATCTTTCAGCTGTGGGAGGAGGAGGGAGGGGCAGGAGAAGGAGGAGACAGAGGCAGGAAGCAGGAGAACTAGACAGAAACAGGAGGAGGAGGAGACAGTAAGAGGAACAACAGAACACAACAAAGACTTGACACACTACACCAGTGACCAACACCAAGGTATAAAACATTAATACCTTAATTCACTACTGATCAATAGTCTACAGAAGGTGCAGAACAGGATGGCACCTTCACCCAGAGCAGACTAACCTAACCTAACTTAACCTAACCTCAGTGTTCATGGGAGGTAAAATAAGTCGAGGTTTTGGTGATTAACAGAAGACTTCCCAAACACAACAATGGACCAAGACTCACCTTAGTTAACATGTGGTTTACCCTGGCTACCTCATCATCCACTCAGAGGACAATAATAAGCCATTGACTTGTAGAATAATAATCCATCAACTTTAAATATATCAAATAAATACAAGTTTAATCTGTCTTTGTCGATTTTCAGATTTTTGGGACAAGAAATAAGAATAGAAAGATTTCAATACCATCTACTCACATTTACTCTATTGATATAGTTTCTGATCTTTGAGGTTTAGAAAGAAATATATGAGAGATTTAATTATCAATATTGTCACCATTTTATAGCCAATATCCTGAAGCTATAAGACTCTCACTGTCCTTAGTTGAGACTTTACTGTCCATCACTGTTTGTATACCTGCCTCATCTATGTACATTGTTTATATACCTGCCTCATCTACAGTATGTACACTGTTTATATACCTGCCTCACCAATGTACATTGTTTATATACCTGCCTCACCTATGTACATTGTTTATATACCTGTTTTAAATTCAGTCTTTTTCCTCATTTTTTAGTGAAAAGAATGCAACAACCACCACTACAGCTACCACTACTAACCTGCAACAACTACCACTACCACTAACCCTACAACAACTACTACCACCACTAACCCTACAACAACTACTACCACCACTAACCCTACAACAACTACTACCACTACTAACCCTACAACAACTACCACTACCACTAACCCTACAACAACTACTACCACTACTAACCCTAACAACTACTACCACTAACCCTACAACAACTACTACCACTACTAACCCTACAACAACTACCACTACCACTAACCCACAACAACTACCACTACACTAACCCTACAACAACTACTACTACCACTATCCTACAACACACTACCACCACTACCCTACAACCTCACTATCCCTACAAACTACTACCACCACTAACCCTACAACAACTACTACTACCACTAACCCTACAACAACTACTACCACCACTAACCCGACAACAACTATCACTGCCACTAACCCTACAACAGCTACTACTACTATCCCTGCAACAACTACTACTACCACTATCCCTGCTACAACTACCACTACCACTACAACTACCACAACTACTACTACCACTATCCTACAGCAACTACTACTACCACTACAACAACTACCACTACCACAACTACTACTACCACTATCCCTACAACAACTACCACTACCACTATCCTACAACAACTATCACCACCACTATCCCTGCAACAACTACTACCACCACTATCCCTACAACAACTACTACCACTATCCCTACAACAACTACTACCACCACTAACCCTACAACAACTACCACTACCACTATCCTACAACAACTACCACTATCCCTACAACAACTACTACCACCACTAACCTACAACAACTATCACACCACTATCCCTTCAACAACTACTACTCCACTATCCTACAACAACTATCACCACCACTATCCCACACACACTACTACCACCACTATCCTACAACAACTACTACTACCACTATCCTACAACAACTACTACCACCACTATCCCAACAAACAACTACTACCACCACTAACCCTACAACAACTATCACCACCACTATCCCTACAACAACTACCTACCACTATCCTACAACAACTACCACTATCCCTACAAGCAACTACTACCATCACTGTCCCTACAACAACTACTACCACCACTAACCCTACAACAACTATCACCACCACTATCCTACAACAACTACCACTACCACTATCCTACAACAACAACTCCACTATCCCTACAACAACAACTACCACTATCCCTACAACAACTACCACTATCCTACAACAACTACCACTATCCCTACAACAACCCACACCACTAACCCTACAACAACTATCCACCACTATCCCTACAACAACCACTACCATCACTGTCCCTACAACAACTACTACTACACTATCCCTTCAACAACTACCACTATCCCTTCAACAACTACTACCACCACTATCCCTACAACAACTACTACCACTATCCCTTCAACAACTACTACCACCACTATCCCTACAACAACTACTACCACTATCCCTTCAACCTACTACTACCACTATCATCAACAACTACTACCACTATCCCTACAACAACTATCACCACCACTATCCCTACAACAACTACTACTACACTATCCCTACAACAACTACTACCACTATCCCTACAACAACTACGTCTACCACTATCCTACAACAACTACTACTACCTATCCTACAACAACTACCACTACACTATCCTACAACAACTACCACTACCACTATCCCTACAACAACTACGTCTACCACTACCACTATCCCTACAACAACTACGTCTACCACTACCACTATCCCTACAACAACTACGTCTACCACTACCACTATCCTACAACAACTACTACTACCACTATCACAACAACTACCACTACCACTATCCTACAACAACTACTACTACCACTATCCCACAACAACTACCACTACCACTATCCACAACAACTACTACTGCCACTAACCCTACAACAACTACCACTACCACTATCCCTACAACAACTACGTCTACCACTACAACTATCCCTACAACAACTTCTACTACCACTACCACTATCCCTACAACAACTACGTCTACCACTACAACTATCCCTACAACAACTTCTACTACCACTACCACTATCCTACAACCTACGTCTACCACTATCCACAACTACAACTACCACTACCACTATCCCTACAACTACCACTACCACAACTACTACTACCACTATCCTACAACACACTACCACTACCTACAGCAACTACCACTACCACAACTACTACCACTATCCTACAACAACTACTACTACCACTATCCTACAACAACAACTACTACTACCACTATCCACAACAACAACTACCACCACTACCACTATCCCTACATCTACTACCACTACGCCTACAACAACAACTACCACTATCCCTACCTCAACTACTACCACCACTATCCCCACAACAACTACTACTACCACTATCCTACAGCATCTACTACCACTAACCCTACAACTACCACTAACCCTACCACCACCACTAACCTACAACAACCACTACTACACTACAACAGCTACTACCACTACAACAGCTACTACCACGACAACCACTACCACCACTACAACAGCTACTACGACAACAACCACCACTACCACCCCCACCGGTCCTCAGTGTAAAGTAGAGAGGATTGGTTCAGACTACCGCTGGACCTCACCTGACTTTGATCTGGGCCTTCCATACCCACCTGACTTTACCTGTAGCATCTCCGACACCACACACCCAGGTAAGCCACCCACACCTGTAGTTTCAGTAACCCCATCCTCACCTACTCATTCCTATCCATCTCCATTATTTATCCTTACCCTCAATATATCTCATACATATAGGAACTCACTCACCAAACGAGACATATTTTATCCTGTAGGCGTCACCGAAGAAGACCCTCTACGTCCTGACCAGCGTTGAGCTACAGAAGAAATATAAAGGGAGATGTTTGGATAAGGTGGCGTTCACTCTCCCTTACGGCAGATCTATAAAGTAAGGCGTTGAGAAGCTGTTGTTCTTATATTTCCTCCCCTGACAAATTCCTTCCTGGTTACTGTATGTTAAATGTTTTATGAGGAACTGCCTGTAGAAGGATGACTCACTCACTCTTAAGGAGTTAAATTTAGGGTGTAAGGTATTGTGTTACGAGAATTTTTAAAGTGTTGAATGTTTACAAGTGTTTAAGGTCTCGTGATACTGATTTTTAAGTTTGTCAATACACTTTAAAAATCTTCGTTAAACACACACACACACACACACACAGTTTTAAAAATAATAATATCCCATCTATGAAACCATGATATGACTCCCTATCATAATAACATCACTAATAACAAACATCATTTTAACCTGATATAACCCCTTAACATGATAATAATATGACCCCTTAACATGATACCACAGACTATGTAAGAAGAAAGAAAGACCACCTACCTGTTACCCAATGCTAACTTCCATGCAACGTTTGAGTCTGATTCCCTCCGTAACTACCCAGGCTTTGACATCACTGTACAACATGTCCCAAGCAGTTGCCATTTAACCATTGACCTGAGCTCTGGTGGATTAACTTCTGGGTACATATACACACCTAATTTCCCCAGAATGCACCCGAAAAATACCCAGTGTGAATGGTGGATTAAGGTAATGTTTCACCTTATGTTTCTGTGTCCTGTTCACCTCACGACACTTGACATATATATGATAATGTATTCAAAATCTGCCTCGTTTTAAGTCATAATAATTCATAGGTTTTTGAAGTATTGTTTAGATTATGTAATAGAGGTTCATTCTATCGTATATAAATTTTTAGTCACGAACTCAAAAGCTACAAGTAAATAGATTTCTAGTGAATAATTGAACACAGTTTTGGCTCCTAATCCGTGTTTCTCGCTTCTGCCACGAGTATCATCTTTTAGTGCAATAGTACAGTTTATCACTCCAACTAGAATACATAAACACAACAAAATAGTCCACGTTCTGTATTTTGTATTCCTTGTACTGTATCTTGATCCAGTTTCCTCTCTCTCTCTGCAGGCTCCCTCAGGCAAAAGAATAGTAATTAACATCCAGAAAATCAGGATCAAAAGTTCTCCAGGCTGCAGTAAGGCATACGTGGTAGTCGACAAGTCAGGCACGGCTCAGTACCAGCCAGCCACCAGCATCATCCTCTGCGGCAAAGTCAGAGGCGCCGAATTTACATCCACCAGCGACACTCTCAACGTTGTGTTCGATGGCGGGAAGAAACGTCCAAAGGCATGAAGGGCTACTATAGGGTTATAAATTAATGCTTTACGACCAAATATTCCCGGTGGTGAAGAGCAGATGTTTAGTTCACAATATAATGATGAAAAGAACCAGACCAGTGAGGAATATTGCTGCCCACGTCATCACTCCTTCAGGGGGAGGAGGGAGGTCTCTTCTGGTGTTTACTGACGCCCTAACAACAACTCAACCAAGATCACTGTTTACGATTATTGAAGCAAGATGAGAGAAATACCACACTTGTTGTTGATGCTATGAAAACTGTGCTACCAAGTTGAGACATATTGATTAGGAATTTATTTAAGAAATTTATATTTATCCTACATCAAATTTGTTTATATTTAACTGAATATCATTACCAGTAAAAAAAATTAGCTACAAGATTGGATTTGATATTTTTTTTCCCTTCTAAGTTGGGAGTTGGCGCTTAAGGAAATGAGCCCATTAAGATTTGAACAGAAGAATGACCGAGCAACTGACTGGGTGACGGGGTGGATGGCTGACTAGAGAAGTGACTGAATGACTGGGTGACTGACTGACTGGGTAACTAACTGGAAAAATAAATAACTTAAAAATATGCATCCATTAATATATAACTGACATCTGATACACTCTAATCAAAATACATATAAATACGTAACGAATTTAACTTACTACATAAATTATATCTAATGCATAACCCAATGATTAATTTATATACCTGTAACAATTTGTATTATGAGTAAATTTTCACCTTTGAGTCACTGTCTTTGAGTTGATTTATTGTTTATTGTTTTTAGACCTGTGTGTACTTAGATTGTCTTTGTTTGAGTTGATTTGTTGTTTGTTTTTAGACCTGTGTGTATAGTATCTAATACTGTATACTATAGGAATAGCCATGTGTGTGTCTGTCTGTCTGTGTCTGTCTGTCTGTCTGTCTGTCTGTTCTGGGCAGCTGAAACGGCACAATTGTTTTTCATCAAACTTGGTGGAAAAATCGCAAAAAAATCGTAGAGTGGAACAAACCTGGTCCCATGTCGATGGTTTCTTTAGGAAGGCATTAATTAACCATTTTATTTATGATGGAAAACGATGCAAGTCTACGGACTTGGCGCACCCTCATTCGCGCTAGCCAAGCACGAGCGTTCAAACTTTCACCGGGCACGAAGGGCCCGCGATCCTGTATATATTATGCTCTCACTGTCTAGGTACTATGGTATATAACTGTACTGTTTAGTGTATATATACATCATGAATCAATGTAAATTTGAGTGATATTATATTCCTTCTCTATATCTCTATATCTATACACACACAGATAACATACTAAAAAGATAACACACCAGGATATCCAACCAGACGCCCACAACCATGATAACTTATCCTGTTATAATAAAGATTCGACAGTACAAATAGGAAATGAATTCTACTCATGATTTAACCTTGTCTTTGCTTTAATAGGAATAGATACATTGTAATAGTAGTGTGGATGTGGTAGGAATGAGATAGACACTGTTTGTTGAGTTGGTGTAAGTTATTGAAGCATCGGTCAGGGGTGTGTTGGTTCCTCTGTTGATTGTCTTTTGTTATTCCAGATTCATCACTTGTAAGATTAAATGGAAGTTTCTGTCAGTTATTGTCAGTTGTATGTCCAGTTAGTTATATATTTAGTCATTCATTTCTCCAGTTATCAGTCAGTTACTTTCCAGTCATTTAGTCATGCAGAACCAATGACTTGAGTGATTTATTAAGTATTTATTGAGTGTTGATGTTGGCCTCTAGGGTCAGGGCTAGGGCTGGAGGGTTAGGGTTAGGGTAATGGTTAGGGTAAGGGTTTAAAACTAAGACTGAGCCTTGTGTAGGGTTAGGGCTATATAAGAACATTTTGCAAGGGAACAAAAAAGAAATGAAATAAACTCTTGTAGCTTTTTTTTTTGCTTACACTTAAATTCAGTTAAATATAAACAAATTTGATGTAGGATAAATATAAATTTCTTAAATAAATTCCTAATCAATATGTCTCAACTTGGTAGCACAGTTTTCATAGCATCAACAACAAGTGTGGTATTTCTCTCATCTTGCTTCAATAATCGTAAACAGTGATCTTGGTTGAGTTGTTGTTAGGGCGTCAGTAAACACCAGAAGAGACCTCCTCCTCCTCCCCCTGAAGGAGTGATGACGTGGGCAGCAATATTCCTCACTGGTCTGGTTCTCTTCATCATTATATTGTGAACTAAACATCTGCTCTTCTCACCACCGGGAATATTTGGTCGTAAAGCATTAATTTATAACCCTATAGTAGCCCTTCATGCCTTTGGACGCTCTCTTCCCGCCATCGAACACAACGTTGAGAGTGTCGCTGGTGGAGGCAAAATCAGCGCCTCTGACTTTGCCGCAGAGGATGATGCTGGTGGCTGGCTGGTACTGAGCCGTGCCTGACTTGTCGACCACCACGTATGCCTTACTGCAGCCTGGAGAACTTTTGATCCTGATTCTCCTGAAGGTCAGTTGTATTCTTTTACCTGAAGGAGCCTGATGGAGGGGAAACTGGATCAAGGTACTGTATAACTGGGACCAAAGCACAAACTGTGAACCTTGTGTTGTGTTTATGCAATTGCAGGTGGGATCCAAAACAAAACCTGTAAGACATCTATCACAGACTACTACAAGGAGATCGACAGACACAGTGAGGTATCCAACACTCTTCAATACATCAGTAGAGCTCTATGGTGTTATAAGATCTACTATATACTGCAAAATCCACTGATAATATAATATAAAGAGTAAATTCTAAATACATTCTCATATACAGTGTGTGGTGGTGACACAAACACAGAGCGATATGTTACCTTAATCCACCATTCACACTGGGTGTTCTTCGGATGCCGTCTGGGGAAATTGGGTGTTGTTATGTAGCCGGAAGTCACCCCATCGGAAGTCAGGTCAATGGTCTTGTGGCAGATGGTCGGGATGTGTCGTATGGTGATGTCGAAGCCCCGGTGGTTACGTCGGTAGTTGGACTCAAACACTGCTAGAAAGTTTGCATTGGGTAACTTGAACACAGTCTTCGTCTTCCTGCACACCCTGTAATGATGTTACCATGTTAAGAGACTATATAAGAATAACATAAGAAGAACAATATAGTTTTTAAAATATGTGTGTATATATGTGTGTGTGTGTGTGTGTGTGTGTGTGTGTGTGTGTGTGTGTGTAACGAAGATGTCCATAGTGTGTCTGTGGGCCTAAGAATCAGCATCATAAGAACTTAAACATAAAAAAATCAGGTTCCAAATTGGCACAATAAAGATTTTAGACCCACACACACACACACACACACACACACACACACCTCCTAAACCCTGGCATGAAACCATTAACCTATATCACCCTCCTACAGGCAGGTCCTCTAAACCAGCCAAACTTTTAACACAACCAAGTATGAATTACCAGACAAGGATACTAACAAGACAACCGCTCGTCGTCTTACTTTATAGATCTGCCGTGAGGAGAGCGAACGACACCCTGTCCACGCATCTCTTCCAGTAGTTCTTCTGTAGTATGAGGCTGGAGAGGATGTAGAGGGTCTTCTTCGGTGACGCCTGCAGGATAAAATGTTGGTAGGTATTTCCTTGATACAAGAGAGAGAGAGAGAGAGAGAGAGAGATGAATTAGAAAGGATAGAAATATGACAAACCAGATAATAAACAGAGGAGAGAGAGGTGAATCCCTGCAGGTGTGGGTGGCTTAATGAGGTGTGGATGGCTTAATGAAACTACAGGTATGGGTGGCTTACAAATATGGGTGGCTTACAGGTGTGGGTGGCTTACCAGGGTGTCAGAGATGCTACAGGAACAGTTCGAAGGGTATGGAAGCCCCAGATCAAAGCCAGGTGACGTCCAGCGGTAGTCTGAACCAATCCTCTCAACTTTACACGGACAGGCTAGTGGAGTGGTGCTGGTAGTGGTGGAGGAGGCAGGAGTGGTGGTGGTGGGGCAGGAGTGGTGGTGGGGGCAGGAGTGGTGGCTGGTCAGTGGTGGAGGGCAGGAATTGGTGCTGGTAGTGGTGGAGGGGCAGGAGGTGGTGGTGGGGGCAAGGTGCTGGTGGTGGTGGAGGGGGCAGGACTGGTGTGGTGGGGAAAGGGTGGTGGTGGGGGGCAGGGTGGTGGAGGGGCAGGATGGTGGAAGGGGCAGGAGTGGTGGAAGGGGCAGGGAGTGGTGGAAGGGGCAGGAGTGGTGGAAGGGGCAGGGAGTGGTGGAAGGGCAGGAGTGGTTGGAAGGGGCAGGGAGTGGTGGAGGGGGCAGGGGAGTGGTGGAAGGGCAGGAGTGGTGGAAGGGGCAGGAGTGGTGGAGGGGCAGGAGTGGTGGAAGGGGCAGGGAGTGGTGGAGGGGCAGGGTGGTGGAAGGGGCAGGAGTGGTGGAGGGGGCAGGGAGTGGTGGAGGGGCAGGTGGTGGAAGGGGCAGGTGGTGGAAGGGCAGGAGTGGTGGAAGGGGCAGGAGTGGTGGAGGGGGCAGGGGAGTGGTGGAGGGGCAGGAGTGGTGGAGGGGGCAGGGGAGTGGTGGAAAGGAAGGGGCAGGAGTGGTGGAGGGCAGGAGTGGTGGTGGAGGCAGGAGTGGTGGAAGGGGCAGGAGTGGTGGAGGGCAGAGTGGCAGTGGTGGTGGAGGGGGCAGGAGTGGTGCTGGTGTGAGTGGTGGAGGGGCAGGAGTGGTGGTGGGGGCAGGGTGGTGGGGGCAGGGGTGGTGGTGGGGGCAGGAGTGGTGGTGGGGGGCAGGAGTGGTGGTGGGGGCAGAGGGTGGTGGTGGGGGCAGGAGTGGTGCTGGTGTGGTGGAGGGGGCAGGAGTGGTGGAGGGGGCAGAGATGGTGGAAGGGGCAGGGTGGTGGAAGGGGCAGGGTGGTGGAGGGGCAGGGTGGTGGAGGGGGCAGGAGTGGTGGAAGGGGCAGGAGTGGTGGTGGGGAAGAAATGGTGGAGGGCAGGAGTGGTGGAAGGGGCAGAATTGGTGGAGGGGGCAGGAGTGGTGCTGGTAGTAGTGGAGGGGGGAGTGGTGGTGGTGGGGGCAGGGGTGGTGGTGGGGGCAGAGGTGGTGGTGGGGGCAGGAGTGGTGCTGGTAGTGGTGGAGGGGGCAGGGGTGGTGGAGGGGCAGGGTGGTGGAGGGGCAGGAGTGGTGGGAGGGGCAGGAGTGTGGGAGGGGCAGGAGTGGTGGAAGGGGGAGGTGGTGGGAGGGGGTGGTGGTGGGGGAGGAAGAGTAATTTTGTTGTTGTTAGGGTAGTGGTAGTAGGAGTGGTGGTAGTAGTAGTGGTTGTAGGGATGGTTGATTAGTGGTAGTGGTAAGTGACGTAGTTGTAGGGAATTGGTGGTGGTAGACGTAGTAGTCGTAAGAATTGGTGGTAGTTGTAGTAGTAGTTGTAGGGGTGGTGGTCCAGGTGGTAGTAGTTGTTGTAGTAATTGGTAGTAGTGGTAATTGTGGTGGTGGAAAAAAATAAAATAATTAAAAAGAGAGAATTAATCTTTGAAATTAAATATCTCAGTAATTGTATAGTCCGGATTAAAATAGTCATACGAGTTGACATAGATTCAGCACATGCAGGTATACTGACATACATAGGTGAGGCAGGTATATAAACAATGTACATAGGTGAGGCAGGTATACAAACAGTGATGGACAGTAAAGTCTCTCAACTAAGGACAGTGAGAGCCATCTATAGCTTCAGGATATTGGCTATAAAATGGTGACAATATTGATAATTAAATCTCTCATATATGTCTTTCTAAACCTCAAAGATCAGAAACTATATCAATAGAGTGGGTAGTATTGAAATCTTTCCTATTCTTATTTCTTGTCCCCAAAAATCTGAAAATCGACAAAGACAGATTAAACTTGTATTTTATTTGATATATTTAAAGTTGATGGATTATTATTCTGCAAGTCAATGGCTTATTATTGTCCTCTGAGTGGATGATGGAGGTAGCCAGGGTAAACCACATGTTAACTAAGGTGAGTCTTGGTCCATTGTTGTGTTTGGGAAGTCTTCTGTTAATCACCAAAACCTCGGCTTATTTTACCTCCCATAGTTACTGAGGTTAAGTTAGGTTAAAGGTTAGTCTGCTCTGGGTGAAGGTGCCATCCTGTTCTGCACCTTCTGTAGACTATTGATCAATGGTAGATTAAGGTATTAATGTTTTATACCTTGAGTGTTGGTCACTGGTGTAGTGTACTCAAATGCTGTTGTGTTCTGTTGTTCTATACTTACTGTCTCCTCCTCACTCTGTTTCTGTCTAGTTCTCCTGCTTCCTGCCTCTGTCTCCTCCTTCCTCCTGCCTCCTCTCCTCCTCTCCCACAGCTGAAAGATAATAATAAATAGCACTCACTTCTCCTTATGCCTCACTTGGCTGATCCACTATGTCAGTGAAGGTGAGATTAGCGGACCAGCCAGTATGGGAGGTGGACGCGGCGAAGAGACTGCAACACCATCTCATTGGTAGAGCGGTGAAGGTTTGTCCTGAAGTGATCTGGTCGCCGCAGTTACTGTTGACAGTACGGAGTCTGTTCATGTGTCTGCTTAACCTCTTGTCTTAGAGGGTGTTTGGTGACTTATGTTACAGGATGTCTGCTGAGTTATATATAAGAGGATGTCTCACATGGACTAAGTACCGCCAATGGCTTAAATGGCGACATTTGTGCATGACCTGGGACCAGAGTACCTGTCGACAGTGCTGATGATCAACTTGTCACCACAGGGCGTCGAAGGCAGTGAAGGTGATGGTAAGAACCTTACACTCTGGACCAATGATCCAGGTAACGGTTTCTGTACGTGGAATCACCCGACCATATTGGTTAAACTGTGAGTACAGTACAATAGTGTGACACCAGGTGTACGAGCATAACAAGGAATTAATGTAGAGGGGACCTGCAGGTGACCACAATACATACGTGCCAGAGGTAGTTTCAGGGTAGTTGGAGAGGTAATGAATTGCCCTCAGCAGTGACATTCTGGCTACAGTCGTCTCCGGAGCTCCTCTGTGATGGTGACACAGTACTGAGGTCAAGACAGTGTTCAAGTGTCTGGCAGGTTTAACATAAGGGTCACTGGATACAACATTAATACGGGTGCTGTACGCCGTTGATGATGAAAGTTTGAGACAAACGAATTAAAATTAACCAAAGTTTCAGCAATGAGGTTAGTCACTGTCAACCAAGTTATTTATTCGAGTGACAGTGACAAGTGAAACAGCAATAAACGGTGACCTCTGGTACAAGGCCAACTGTATATAAACATTGTCACTGAACTCAGTGAGGTCGATCCACGTGAGAGTAAAAATCAGGTTAGTTCATCGTGTTGGATTCTTCAGTTGTGGTGTGAACAAGTGACGGACTATAAAAAAAGACCGTAACAGGGCATTACTACCCACCCTGTCGTGCGGCACAACCAAGTCAGAAACGGATTAAATTAGAAAAAATTTAAATGAAGTAATGGATGAACAAATAAGAGAAAATGGTAGAGGCAATAGTAACAGAAAATGGAAGGCCAAAAGTCTCAGGAAACTCCACAAGGGCAGAGATGATGTTACCATAGTAGCCCCCCAGTTATTTGGTCACAGTGAGTGTAAGTGTACCCCGTGGACACACACACGTACACGATGGCCCGAGGTAGCCATCGTTCTGTACGGGTCCACTGTCAGACTGCAGTTACTCAGCCATTTTTCTATAAAGGAAAATTAATTAAATAAATAAATGCCCTAGTTGTATGCACTGAAAATAGATGCGAATTAGTTGGAGCATCAATGTGATAACAGAGACTGACAAATAAACAAACAAGTACACTGGTATGAGGGGTGTTACTGGTATATGGTAGTACAATTGAATTGTAGCAATAGTAGTGGTGGTGGTGGAGCAGAAGATGTACTCACGGATGCAGGAGTACATGCGGTTGACGAGGAGAGCGTCCCTGTGACTGAGGCCTATCCACTTCCTGAGGAGGCACTGGTAGTAGGGGTTGATGGGTAGCGACGGTCATCCTGCCATTCTTGCTAAAAGTGCCTCCAACACCCACGTCAAACACGTAAGGGGAATAGAGTAAAGTCTTAAGGCGTTGGGTTCCTGAGTAATGTGTGGGTTGATTGGTTGGTGCAGGGTGACGTCAAGTGCCCAGGAGGGCTGGTTGGCTGATACACGTGTTATCAAGTGATGAGGAGAGATGATTGGCTGATACATTGTGTTATCAAGTGCTGGGGAGAGCTGATTGGCTGACACACAGTGATATCAATTACTGGAGAAGAGCTGGTGCAGGGTGACAATATGTAGCGTCTATTCTTCGGCTACATACAGTATTCATGTAATGGAGTATAAGTGGTGAACAGTTCCTTTAGTTACGAGACGTGAGATGAAAAACCTAAAAAAAAAATCAGCACAGAAGTAAACAAGTCTGCTATAAGTACAAAAAATACATTAATCAACATTTTACTGACTCAAGGTAATACAGAGGGTACAGTAACTTACAAAACTACTGTAGTGCATGTTTGAGGTGTAGTCATAAGGAACGCCGTGGTAGTTGGTCTGTTGGACTGTCTTTTTATCGAAGTTTGAGGATTTCCCGTCCAGTATGTTGTCGTAGAGTACCAACACGAAGTCGTCTCTGGTGGGCGATGACTGCATGTGGAACAGCCCTATGGCGTGTCCGATCTCATGAGCCACTACACCCAGCTGGTATAAGAAGTACATATTAGTTAACTGGTGTTGGTGTGTTCTATTTCATAAACTGCTACACCCATCTGGTATAAGAAGTCAATTACACCGGGTATTATTTTTCTAAACCAACAGACACTTGCCAGTAGTAAACAAGGCTACCAGTCACTGCGTCTCCTTGTATTTAAGCTGATATGCATGAGAGTAACGCCACCACCCACTACCTTCGTCATGCCTTTCCATACAGTATTGTGAATGAACTGAATTGCTGACACTACCCAAGGGATTGATTCGTCATACTCAAGGATTTAAATCATCATACTCAAGGGGTTAAATCATCATACTCAAGGGGTTAAATCATCATACTCAAGGATTTAAATCATTATATTTGAGGGGTTACTGGATTAAATCATTCTAATTTCCAGGTGGTAAAGATTACTGTAAAAAAAAGTATATTTGACTAATTTATGAATTTACACCCTGAATTAGTTAATTTCAACCTGACACCATTACTTTACACCCTGACTTCCATTCACCCTGACTTACCGAGGAACAGCCAGACCCTATGGACACAGTCTGGCCATTGACGTGGTCTGCATCCCATCCCAGGTAGCCTATATGAGACCAACACCCACTGAGCACCTCGAACTTGATGTGTGGGCCGGTGGTGCCCTGTCGCTGCTCAAACTTGATACACGTCTTTGATTCCCAGTGTTGGATGCCTGCAGTGACGCTCGCCTCGTCCACCCCATCTGTAAGGGTCAGGGTGATTGGTTGTGTGTTTTAGGGTGTAGTGGGGAGGCGGGAGAGGGTCAGGGTGATTATTTACAACTTCACACTCAAAATTCGTTAGGTTAGGTTTGGTTAGGTTAGGTTACTATGAGAATTTAAAGACACAGTTAACACACAAACCAACAAGAGACTGACCAATAAACTGGTAGGGGACGAGGGGGTAGCCATCATTGCCCTCTGGCCAGCGATAGATGAGGCTGGCCTGGCCCCTGACCTGGCCCTGGAGGATGGCCTTCTGTCGGGGGGTCAACATTATGTCGTCCTGGTACAGTTCGCCTGCCTCCTGGTGATCTGGGGTCAGTTCGTCTGCTGGCTGGGACGGAAGAGGAGGAAGAGGTCACGTGATGATGTTAAAATCCTAATCCTCTTACTCACAAGACCCTCAAGTAGATGAGACCAGCTGTTGACAAATGCTCGAGGGAATTCTGTCATCAGATATCCATATTGATAATTATCGATACACAAAATAATGAGACAAAGATGAGGTTAATGGCTATAAGACACTCACTTGGGCAGAGGCACAGGAGGAGGAGGAGGAGCTGAGAACCAACGAACACAGCAGGAGAAGACCCACCATGTTGGCTCAGAGGAGAGTGATGGTGTGTATGTGTGAGTGAGGCAGTGTAGTGACATATAGAGCTTTCCCAAAAAATACATACACACAACACGACAGATTTTTATAGAGATCATTCAAACGCTTATATCACAATACCAACATAGACCTTACTTTTTGTATGTACAAGGTCACCCAAAAGTGTAGATAAACTTAGATGTTGTAATCGTGTCAAAGTATTCACACAATCTCTATGAAAACCTGAACATAATTTTTCTGAGACACTCTGTATTCAACCTTCAACACCTGTCACCTTCCGCCCACATAAAATTCAACACCTGTAACCCATTCTCCTGCATAAAAATTCCTTACCATCACGTAAATGAGTAATGTTTATTAATTAATGTCCTAATATATTTAAATGCAGGGGGTCTAGCAGGAGGAGTGTGCTTCGGTATGGAGTGTGAGTGTAAATAATAATAATAATAATAATAATAATTAACGGTTTATTGAAAGAGCTTGGCAGCCAGAAGGCTGAAAATATACAGTTACATATTTGGGGAATGGGTTACGAATTACAAATAATATACAAGTGACATAAGTGACACAAATAAGACATATAGTAACTTAGATGGGGATCAGCTCAAACTACAGTTCATTTCAACATAGTGACAGTGTAGGAGCAGTGTTTGCAGGAGTGAATACACTGATTTATTATGTTATTGATAATTTTACAATGGTTGGGACTGGGCTGTTCTTATAGCGATCAGTTCGTGCACGTATGGGCTGGATGCGGTTGTGGTGTGTGTGTTGGTGGGGTGTGTGTGTGTTGGTGGGGTGTGTGTGCAGTGTGTTGGGTGGGGTGTGTGTGTGTGTTTTGGGTGGAGGGTGTGTGTGTGTGTGTGTGTGTTGGTGGGGTGTGTGTGTGTGTGTGTGTTGGTGGTGTGTGGGTGTGTAGGAAGGAGGGAGGAGCAACTATTGATTCCATATATGATGAGTCAATGATGAGTCGATGAATATGTGATAGAATGAATATGATGACAGGCCTTAAGCAAAATGTCGGAAGTCTGGCATGGTCTCCGTTGATGAGAACTGCTCCAAGGTGGTTGTTGGTCAGCGCTGATCTAATTGTTGATTCGTTAAGTTCCACCACAGGAAAATATTTAATCTCAAAATGGTTCAAAGTTAAATTTTTTGAGCACTGCTACACTTTATCTGCATATTAAGTACACGGCTCCTGGTTTCATAATGGCATATATTTAATTTTTGTGAGATATTGCAGTCCCTGAATACGTACTGTTATAATACCGAGTACAAAACACTTGAGTAATCCTTAATGTTAAAAAGTTTCATTTGACTTCAATATTACACCACAGACAGACATTAAATACAAGACAGTGGCTCCTGTATTACTATTAATTAATTATGTTATTATCATCATTTCATATGTCACTTCTTGTTCAACAGGAAATGTTTCAACCTAAACAAGTGGGAAGGTTAGTTATGTTTCCCTGATATAATAATGAAGGAATAATGGATGACAAAATGTTGCCTACAACTGACTGGTCACAATACTGATGCACTGTACATCACAACTCTACAATAATTATTATAAATATATAAACACAGTATTAATACAACTTAGATAATAACACTGAGTCAGTCATAGTTGAGAAGAGGAACCACTTGAGCAGGTGTTGCTGGATGTCTACACAGTGGACACTGTTGACTTGTCTGAAGACATTCCTGAATACACTGCCAGCAGAACAAGTGACCGCAGGGAGTAACACAAGAATACTTGCGCTCATCAAGTCCACATTAGTGATAGTTATCTTCCTATTAACCTCTAGGTCAGGTACTAAAATGGGTCTACATAGTTCCCTTTATAATGAACTTCAGTTACTTCCTGTGGGAGAATAAAGAGTTAAGGGAAGGAGCTCATATGATGTTGTTAACTCCACCAAACAGAGTACAGTATTATAGTTATGTTTAAAGAAGTGACAGCAGGTCTGACAGTATTATTACAGGTGTACAGTATTACCCAACACTTTCAGTTCTGTCTTTCTCCCAGAACCTTATATAATATCTAACTTAACTTCATATAAAGCTTTATAAACTTATTTCCTTATCATTACAATATCATTTAAATGAATTAGCATAAACCTTTAAGTAATATATAACAAGTCATAATAACATAACTAACTGGCAGACGGCTGTGTGTTCTCTCGTGGAGGTTTAACAAACAGGTGAGTATGAACGGCATACCTATCCTGTTACCTTCTAATAAATTATACAATGCTCTAATAACAAATATAATACATCATAATTAAATTACACTCATCAGCAAACCTATGTACTGTACAACGTCTCAGATAATGGAGAAAGAACATACTAATAAATGCAAGTTGATGTACAGATCTATTCAGCAAGGAAAAATGAATAGAAATATAGATGACATAATCACTCCCTCTATTTATCTATCCTTATGTCCATCTACCTATCCATCCCTCTAGCCATGTACCGAATAAATGGAAACTAACCGACCAACAACACGATCATAGAAAACGTAAAAGATAACACGGGATAACAACCGACCATAACAAACGACCGTGTTATCATTAAAGACTGTACAGGATAACTAGTAAATGGCAATTGCTTGTTATATTACATGAGATTTGTTTAGTAATATGATTAAATACGTTATAAGAGTGGTGTGAGTGTGATAAGGTGAGGATTATAGTTTAATGAGTGAGTTGCTTAATGGTATACGTGAGGGTCGTGTATAGGTTAGGTTAGGATGGGTTAGACAATGACAAAATTCAATAACCTAGGAGCAGCATCATTAACCTCGATAAATCAGAATCAATGCCGGACAAAAATCGGAAAGATGCAAATCCTCCATTCTTTTTTTTAATATTCTAAAAGTAGGGAAAGACGTTTAATTCCATATAAATTTTTCCTAACGTTCATCCTTGTCAAATGTCGGTGTTCTAGAGTAAACTGTATTACCAAATTTTATCTTCGGTTCAATATTTATCGAAAGTTGGCGGCTTATGGACACAGCATCTTAGTAAAGTGTACTAACATAAATCATATGAGAGATTATGGAAGGGTCTCTCCTAAACTTATCACATTATGATATATATATTTTTCTTTCTATAGACGATAAGCGTTTTGTCTCCTCTAGGGTTTTACGAGAATCTGAATAATCTGTTGTTGACAAATTTAATATACTGTACCTTTTTTTTTTTAATAGCGTGAGTAGTTACTGATACAAGTTTGCCAATGTTGATAGTGGCATTGTGTATAACAGTTTTGGCTCTTGGTAATAAAAAAAGGAAAATGCGGCTTTGATAATTATTTATGAAACAGACCACAAGAATTACTCAAACCTAACCAAAGCTTAACTAGTATTAGGTTAGGTTTGGTTTGAGTTAAGGTTTGGCTGGTCATGGAAAGCTTCGTAAGTGATTTTCAAACTCACTCACCCCTTGTTCCCTACCAGATCTGCATTCATTATGCTAAAACAAATTTGTGAAGACGATCCCATCCAAAATAACAGGAAATAAGATTACAGACTACGTATTAGTTGTTAGAAAAAAATATCCCATTTCTACAGATTTCACTGCATAATCTCTATTCAATTTTGTATGTTAAATAGATACTGTAGCTACATCAACTAGCATTTACTAGTACAGCACTGTATTATATTGCAAACTTACCAGATAAATATGTGGTATGTTTATGTAGGATCATACATCATAGGCTGTCACATACCAATACATTTAAACACAAATTTTTCTCATTGTAATATTTCAGATGCCATTCCAACAGGCAGGAGCAGCCGAGGTTCTCAGAGCTTCCCAGAAAGATGAGAGTTTCCTTGACTACCTGAAGAGTTGTATCTCAGAGATTGTACAGAGGTCTGCTGGTGGGTGTACTAGTAATTAATTAGAGGGTAACAGGATATCAGACATTACCTACTGTATAAATAATTGTCCTTGGGTAAATATCACATAAAACAATCACACCAGAATGACATCATTTAAAACCTTTGATTCTAATACGTTGCATAGGACATAACTAATAAGAAGTATAAAATAAATCATATAGAATAGAACTAATTAAACATTCACCTTTTGTTACAGGCACGAGAGTATGGCTGGACATCCACAAACATACAGAGATCCTGTGCGAGTTTGTTTATTACAGTTTAACTACACTATGTCTCCGGCAGACTCTGGGGGAGGAATACACAGGGGTGCTACAGGTTGACCGCACTAGGGGAAGGTTACCTAATACCCTTGTAAGTGAAGATGAGATGTACTGTGAAACTTCCATATAACGAACTTTCATCTCTATATAGTTCATTAGATGGAGGGTTTTGATGTCTAATGGATCCTTGATATAATGGACTTTCATCTCTTTATAATTCGTTAGATGGAGGTTTGACTTTATCTGACCCTTGAAATAATGGAATTTTCTCTCTATATAGTCCATTAAATAGAGGTTTCACTGCATACATAATGAATTGATATATATTCCCAGGAGAGGGTGATTATGGTCGTACTGAAGTGCTTTGGTCCTGAAGTTATACGAAGGCTACTGTCGAAGTTAGAGGACTCGGCCAGATCGGGAAAATTATCAACGTATCTCCGACCAGAATTGAAGAATGTTATACTGCAGCAGATGCCAACCCTGAGGTACTCCCTCACTCTACTACACCGCATTCATCTGGCGACGTTCTATTTCACCGGAGCATTCTATCATATATCTAAGAGAGTTACAGGCATCAAATATGTAAGTATATCAACTATAAAGTCGCAAGTAAGATAAAGGGGTTTTAGTAAGGGAGGTACCAGATGGTGAAAATATCCCTCCATCTAGCCGGAGTCTTTCTGGTGCACCTAAAGTTTTAATGGGAAACATATCTACAGGATCTTTGCAAGCTTTCACTGAATATTATTAAATGAAACTTTTCCATGTTGGTATTGTAGAGTAAAAGAACATTACCCTAACCTGAGTGTAGTAAAAAAATTAGTACTGTATTGTGTTATATATATACAATACTGTCTTGTCTTATGTATGTACAGTATTTACATATTATATAACTCACATGAAGATTACCACCTCCAGCTTCTTTCACCTGATGATTAAACACCTTAATGCGAACCTAATCTAACTTAATCTTCCCAAGTAACATTCGGTTATTTAGCATCAGGTGAAATAAGCTACGGGTGGTAATCTTATGTGATAAATTTCTTGGTCAAACTAAGATACAATATCTCAAAACTCCTACTTCACTTAAGGTGTTGGTGCGAGAGTGGCTCGGTGACAGCTCTGCCAGCAAGTCATTCCAGGTCCTAGGTACAGTGCTGCTGACACACATCCTCCTGACCACCATGTATGCCGTCTACACTCACCTGTTTGTTAAACCTCCACCAGAGAACACACAGCCATCTGCCAGTGAGTTCGCTTATATTATTATGATCTGTTATATATTAGTTAAAGGTTTAAGTTCATTCATTTAAATAATATTGTAATAATGAATTAAGAATATAAAGGTTCATATGAAGTTAAGTTAGATACTGTACTAAATACACTACAGTATTTTCAGTAATCATTACTATACACATGTTCATGTGGGTTGGTTTTCATTAGGACATTCAGCCAGTCATGTTCAGTACCACTGATAAGGTTTGAGGGATGAGAGACGATTAGCTTTATAGATGAGAGAAAAATATCTGACTACAACACCAGCAACAAACTGAACTGTTCCTGATCATATGAACGACTCTCATCCATTACAGTTTATTTGGAGTTGCTGTCCTTTTGTGTGATCTTGGGGATGTAAAGTTGTTTAACTTTTTAATATAAATATTGTCTTATGTAAAAGACAATGTTATTACAGTCTTTTAATAATGAAAAGTTTACTATTGTTTTTGTGACAACAGAGTGCTATGTGGACAGCAAGAAGCAGTGTTCTCTGTGTCTTGATGAGCGCAAGTATTCTTGTGTTACTCCCTGCGGTCACTTGTTCTGCTGGCAGTGTATTCAGGAATGTCTTCAGACAAGTCAACAGTGTCCACTGTGTAGACATCCAGCAACACCTGCTCAAGTGGTTCCTCTTCTCAACTATGACTGACTCAGTGTTATTATCCAAGTTGTATTAATACTGTATTTATATATTTATAATAATTATTGTAGAGTTGTGATGTACAGTGCATCAGTATTGTGACCAGTCAGTTGTAGGCAACATTTTGTCATCCATTATTCCTTCATTATTATATCAGGGAAACATAACTAACCTTCCCACTTGTTTAGGTTGAAACATTTCCTGTTGAACAAGAAGTGACGTATGAAATGATGATAATAACATAATTAATTAATAGTAATACAGGAGCCACTGTCTTGTATTTAATGTCTGTCTGTGGTGTAATATTGAAGTCAAATGAAACTTTTTAACATTAAGGATTACTTAAGTGTTTTGTACTCGGCATTACAATAATCAGGGACTATTTATCAATAAAATATAAATAAAACCTGTAGTATTTATGTTGGGGAGGGTGACCATCACCAGCAAATACCATCAAGAACGTAACAACACATTTAAACCTTCGCTCGCACCAGGAGTGTGTAGAATGACAGCGATGGCTCACCAGGTCTACACAAATGACAAGGCAAGAACAACACCTAAACCAGTAAAGGCATAAAATTTATAAACTTCAACAGTCATAACTCACTTTACGCCAGCCACTACAGTACAGTATTGGGTTAAAATAAAAATAAATACATAAAAATCTCATATTTATTATATAATTCTACAAATACTCACAAGAATTTAAACACCCTGGCTGTTCCGTCGTCTGAGGCTGTAACGAGTGCTGAACCGTCCCTGAAAATACGAGAGCTTGACTTAATATATAAAAAAACATCAACAGACTTTAACCAACATGAAATATCAGACACAGAACACTGACCATTTTTCATATTTCGTTTTTTTCCACATATTTCTCTTTTTATGACATATCGTGACTTTCAAACATCATCTAAAACTAAAACTCTCTTACTTGGTGACACTAAGAGCAAGTATACTATCCTTATGCCCTGTATACTTGGCAAGAGGTTCTCCCGACTGTGCATCATAGGAGTGTATGGCGCCGTTGAGCCCAGCGGAGAATAATATCGGTTCGCTCGGATGCCACACGAGCCGAGACGATCCACAGCCCTGAGCTATCACGTGCCGGCTGACCTGAAGAGTAATTGGTTCTTAGAAAATGGATGATATTCCCATCGGTTGGACTATATGACAACGAGGATCTAGAATAGGAACATCGTAGCAGTTAAGGTGAAAGAATGAAGGAGTGTGTTCTTAGTCTTGAATCTTGTCAACTTACAGCACAACAGATTCAAGAATTGCAAGAAAATTAAGAAAAAGTTACATATTCACATGATAGGCAAATAAAAGTTATATTCACATGATAGGCAAATAAAAGTTATATTCACATGATAGGCAAATAAAAAAGTTATATTCACATGATAGGCAAATAAAAAAGTTATATTCACATGATAGGCAAATAAAAAAGTTATATTCACATGATAGGCAAATAAAAAAGTTATATTCACACGATAGAGAAGAAAATGTAACAAACCTGCGATGAAATGTCCCAAAACGTAACGTATCCGGCCAGAGTGGCGGTGGCAGCGATGTTGGGTGTAAGCGGACAGAAACTGACGGCTTCTACAGTGTGATCCGCCTCGTTATCCTCCTCAGAGTTCGGGGTGATCTCACAGTTAAGTGTACCAACAAGCTGCACATAAACCATAAAAACATGTGTGGTGAATTGGTTTAACCCTTCGAGTACCAATGGGTTTAAATTATCGTCATCAAAGGGTTAAACCATTGGTGAGGGTTAAATCACGTGTCAAAGGGGTTAAACCATATTTGTTAAAGAGTTAAATCATTGTCAGAAGGGATAAAGGCAGATAAAATGAATTAGATCTATTTTTAACTATAATATTTTGCTTTCTGTCCACTTTCTCTGGCTGATGTACCTTGCATTGACTCTAACTTCATCTATATCTGCCATCAAACACACCCAGTCCTTAGTTCCTAGTTAGTTGCCTGTGATCAATAGCCATAGATACTCCACATATATTTACATTTACCTCTATACCTCATTATCCCTCACTCTATCATGTCACATCTTTCATAATTTTCTCTCTCTCTCTCTCACTCTGCATTCAAATATAACCCAGTAATTCTTCTTATATTTCTTGCTACTTCACACCAAAATCATGTCTACTCTACTTGAAAAATACACCAATTATTTTCCCTTGTAATACATCATAAAATAATACAAAATACAACCCACCTTTCCACTATTAGCATTGTATAACTTGGCCGTACCATTAAAGGAGCCAGCTAAAATCAGAGTGTTGTCTTTGTGTACGGCAATACTGGCGATGGATGCGGTGTTTGCCTGGCCGTCTTTGAAATGCTGTACTAGCTGCCCTGTCTTCAGATCAAAGACACGCACAGAGCCGTCCTCATAACCAGCTACTGACCGTTTACCTTAAAGAAAAAAAGAAAGGACTAATTTAGAATGGTTAACTGATATTAGTATTTATTGAAAGCATTTATTTATTACTTTCAATACTTATCATCAATCATAAGTGAATATTAGTTTATGAAGTATACCTGTATAATATAATACAGGTAAAGTATCGTAAGTTTATCATATTCAAGCTAGGAAGATGAGGCTAATTGACTCCTGTGAAAAGCATAATGGCATTTACAGTGAAACCTCCATTTAACGGACTATATGAGGAGGAAAATTCGTTATGTCAAGAGCCTGTTAAATGTGAAACCTCGATGTAACAAACTACATAGAGATGAAAAGTCCGTTATGTCGAGGTTCCGTCACATGTGAAACCCCATGTAACAGATTATATGGATATAGAAGTCCATTATAATAAGGTTTCACTATAGATAAACCAAGTGTGTAAGGAATCACTGGTAAACGTGAAAGTGTCGTCATACCGTCAGGCAGCAGCGCCCCACACTGGGAAGCAACACCGTAGCTGGGGAAGGTGCGAGCGTTGCCTTGGGGTATCAACCACATCCACATCTCCCCATCTGCTGTCCCCACTAACAACACATGAGAGGCATGATGCCATGTCAGCCACTGCAAATGGGAAATTTAATTGTTATAAAAAGAAAAGAAACTGAAATAAATGGTTTGTGAAATACTTTATGAGGGATTATCACAAAGCAATTCATGGATGGTGGGATCTGAGGTGGTGTATTGTCGTAACTGCAAATGGACGTATTGAACAAACTGGGTAATTCAATATTAAAAATAAAAGGGAGTTTGAATGTGATAAAACTCTTCAGATCTGTAGAAACATTACATTAAGCTATTAAGCCAAAATCGAGTTTATTTGTGACCTTTAGTTTCTGAGATAATCACCACCAATACATCTCCCTACAGTAATCAAAACACAAACTTTTACCAATTACATAAATTCTGAATCAAGACAGCAAAGAACTGTACTGTAGTGTGTTTCTAAAAACTCAAGAGTGTAAATAAAACTCCTTGTGGTAATACCCATGATGATTAATAAAAGATTCACAATATTAACACACCCAACTACTGTACTGTACTAAAAAGACCTTCACATAAACTAAACTTACTTCATTACACAGAACTTACACTTAGATCTCCTATTTCAAACTCCCATATTTTGGATGAGGTTGAAATTTTCCAGACTTGAATAAATCCACTCATGTCCCCCGTTGCCAGTAGTGATCCATCTTGGCTGAAGTCCACCCAGGTCACGCTATCCTGCATCACACAGAGAAGGACATTATACTAAACACACAATAAACCAAAGAACTCCGGCTGCCTAAACAAGCTCACACTAACATCCTTAACACACACAAATAACAAGAAATAAAATAGTTACGTAAACTCCAAAAAAATTACAAAATTATGCTTTTCCTACAAATATATATTCTAAAATACAAGAATCTTTAAGTCAGTGTAATGTACTCAAGGATTTCATAACAACGCTACAGAGACAAACGGTTAACTACCTTGTGCCCTGTGCAGGTAAAGACCACATTTCCTGTATTAGCGTCCCAAACATAAGCCAAGTCGTCCTCTCCTCCTGTGGCAGCTAAGTTCCCACTGGATGACACTGAACAACTAAATACAGATCCTGCAAAAACACCTCAAGTAAGTTTATATAAAGGCATTAAATCTACTGTACTTCAATTTGATTTATATATCTTACTTAGTCTTTGTACGTAATTGTTTTCTATTTAAGTAAAATGAGAAAGAAATGTGTATAGAAAGAGAAAGAAATCGAATAACTTTTTTTTTTGTACCTTTGTGTTTGGAGAAGACAACAGCAGCCATATCAGTGACATCTGCTGCCTCCCCGTCCTCCATACTCTCATCCTCCTCTCCACCGCCAGCACCCACCAGCCTCTCGGCGACCTCCTCCAAGTTTGTGTCATCGTCAAGCTCAATCACCTGAAGAAAATTTACAAGAAAGGAAAAGGATTACTCACTTTAATTTTCTTATTCGAAACAAAATAAAAAATTGAACTTAAACTAGAGCCATCATAGGTCTACCACTTAATGACCAAACACTGGAACACAAAAACCTGCGCCAGATATGTCGTAAAATAATCCCTTTTCCGGATAACACGATACAAAAAAGAAACAGTAAGTATTTTAAGTTAAACATGAATGCTACAGTCAACCAATGCTTACCTCTTCAATGTCACCAATATCGATCACTTCCTCCCTGTCACCATCCAAGTGAGGGTCTGGAGAGGACGGTGGTGTATTGGTCTTCATGTTTCCACAGTTCTCTGACGATGTGGTAAAAGTAATTATGACTTAATCACTTAAATGTATGATACGTCAAACAGCATAAAAAAAATCGCACACTATACTTTTACACAAGTCAATTGTATTTCTGAGATTATTTTGTTCATATCTGCTTGAATTCTTTTTTTTTTTTAATTCGGAAATAGATTAAATTTTTGGAAATATTTAAGATCTAATGTCACAGTAAGCAGAACCTCTTGAGAAAATTGAACTTCATTTAATACATCATAGTATTTGAGGCTCAACACTAATGATATATAGTGACACCTCTATTACCAGACTATATAGAGATAAAAGTCCATTATATCAAGGGTCCGTTAGATATAGAACCTCCATATAATGAGCTTTATAGAGATAAAAGTTCATTATATCAAGGGTCCGTTAGATATAGAACCTCCATATAATGAGCTTTATAGAGATAAAAGTTCATTATATCGAGGGTCTGTTAGATGTGAACCCCCCATCTAACAGACTATATGGAGAGAAAAATCCATTATATAGAGGTTTTACTTGGGTCTCTATATAACCTTGGTAAAGCTCAGTTAAATGTACCGAGTATGTCAGCAATTTAGGAGTACAGTATATTTTTCGGTAATTTATGAGAACACCGCTACCACCAGAAGGAGTCGTTCGATTTTGGTCATTTATTCCAAAGAATTTCATAGCATTAAAGTAAGTATTTTAAAGTGAGCGATAACTTTTTATTTTAATTATTGATTGATTGATTAAGTCAGGTACTATTAGTTTATGCATTGTCATATTGTTTTTATTACTTGCTATCACCCAAAGAACATCTGTGATATTATACTGTTCCTGAATATTCCCCTAAGTTCTAGCCAGTCCTAATGATTGTATGATAGCAAAAGAACCTCAGAGTAAGAGATAAACAATAAACCACCCAATTAGACTAACTACCGTCACTACACACCCTGATAGATTGTTCCAAGACTTAACAACTTGTGGCTTCTTTAACCTTAACAGAGACCCACAATCACTTCAATACGATGAATAACTAACAATAAATCACCAAATCATTGATAAATACACAAACAACGGGTAGTAGAGTGACTTACAGGTTAATTAAAGAACTACACTGAACTACACCACACACAGTAACTGGCCCTTCAAGTGTGTCTCAGGCCTTGTTAATTACCCTTCCTATAATATATTAACTATAGTATTATATTGTATACTCTTCATTTTTTCATCAATAATATATCACTAACATCAAATTATACTTATTATTATGTTAATGAGGAAATTAATAGCGTTTTATTTTATTTATTTTTATTTTTTGACGAGAATTTGAAATGTTTATAAACCTGATATATGATCTGGCTGATATTATTGTCATATGACTTTAATCTCATTCTAAGTCATTTAATTCCGACATTTAATCTAATTCACTGTTTATTAACGTTGAGTTTCTTTACTGAGATAAAAGAAAAATTGGAACAGTTACATGAGAGACTTCTTTACTTTATAATGATTGTAAAATATAGTAATTGTTGATTATTTTATTTTATCCTAAACAAACCTTTGAAAACATTACCTCACATGAAAAAAATCTTAAAACTATAAAAATATTATCTTTAGTATGTTTTAGTAGGTGTGGAGTGACCTTTATATACTTGACCTCAGAACCATAGAATGACAGGTGAGTCAGCCATCAATGAGGGATGAGCCATTGTTAAAAAACTACCACGACTTTTATATTTAATCCATTATAATTCTTCGATCATATTATATATATATTATTAAACCGTAATTAATTATATTTAGATAATTTTGATAGTTTTAAGTAGTTTTAATTTATTTACGTTGCCTAATCAAAAAAAAAAACTTTGTGATTGTGTTTCTAGATTCTTCTTAACATTGATCATAAGAGACCTTAATAAACATGGCGCACCTCTTTAAGGTCGACCGAGTACGGCTCTTATGTTCATGTGGTGTTCTAAAACCTATCACCGCTATTTATTTTTGCCGTCATTGCCTGAAGCTGAGATGTGGGAACTGTGTATCTCACGAGGTAAGAAAATTCAAGTTAAACACAGAGCTTAAGATATGGTGACGAGGGGTGGGTGTGACTCTGTAGTTATTTGTCCCTAAATCTAATTACACTTGTTATTCACACCAGGAACCTAACCTAACCATACGCCCTAAGCACCAACTTAGGGCGAAGGTTAGGTAGGTAAGGTAAGGTTAAGTTAAGTCTGGTTAGGTCAGGTTAGGTTAGGTTAGGTTAGGTCAGGTTCATTTTATAATCAAGGAACGTTAACAACTGTCAGACAATTCCAAGATGGCTCGACTGTTTCATAATTAATTTTTTTTTACAGATGAAAATGAACCAAACTGCACTACCTAACTTGACCTACCCTGACCTTAACCTAACCTAACCTAACCTAACCTAACCTAAAGTAATTGTTATCTTGTATTCTATGAGAAGAACCATTTGTGGCATCTGTCATATGAGAAACTAAACTTGGAAGACCAGACAAACGATGTATAAATAAGTCATAAAAGTGACATTACACGAAGCATAATATAATAGACCTGTATATCTTTTTCATATACTTTATAGCACAAAAATTAATCTTATGTAAAATATCTATAACTTATTAATGAATAAAAATTGACAGAAAGCTACACAATGAGTTATTTAGTGGAGTACAGCTCATGGGTACAAATACAGCACATCATAAATTCACTTTTTTGTAATACAGTACAGTAGTTTAGTTTCCTTGTGTACTATTAGTAATGTATTTGGAAATTTATATACTGTAATACAATAACAGAGATAGTTAATCCAGGAAAACATACCTAGTTTAGTTCCATGAGGCATTTTGCTCCTTATGCCACAACAAACCACAAGTTTCTCTCAGCTCACCTGGGGTAGTAATGGGTGGGACTGTATCTGTTGTTCCCTCTTGTGTGCTGTGCCAGGAGGGTTCACTACTGTACCTGCAACAGTAAATGCATAAGTGCTGCCATCTGTTAGTGGGTTTGTTTACAAAATAATTTAGGGGTAGAAAAACCTCAGGGTATGAAGATGAAGTTGATAACAGATCATAGAGAACTTAAATGGTTTTCATTACTTTGTACAGTACATTGTATTACTGTAGAGTAATGCAAAATATTGAGTGATATTATTCAAAACTACTTTAGTAGAAATTAAATATTAAGTACTGGGGCATAAGTAAGATATTAAAACTGGTGTCCTGTAGTGAAGATTGTGATCACTGGTACAGTAATTACATATTTCTTATAGATAAAACAAGGGAGACATTCGATGACAATACATTGACTTCATTTAGAAATAAACATACCTGTACAGGTACAGTATTTTGAAATATTCAAGAAAGATCAAGCTGATAGATTTACCATATTTAACTTTACAGTCAGTGAAAAAACCCCTGTGTACAGTATAATGTATATGGGTATTGGAATAATACTGTAGTTACATTACCAATGGTTAACAATTTTCAGAATATATACTGTACCCTGGATACTGTATTGTACTGTATTAAGTTAATGAGAAAGGTACAGATCACTCATGGCATCACTGACCCATGCACCTAATGCCATACTCTGAACTGTAACATCAAATTTAATGCTACATATTGTTTCAGGTGGACACACTATTTTGCCCAAACTGCTTGGAGAATATGCCATCAACTGAGGCACGTCTGAAGAAAAATAGGCAAGTAGTTATGACCTTCGTTGATTTAGTTGGATTTTAGTCTTTTATTAAACCTTATTCAATAATTTTTTGGGGAGCTATGTGTGTAAGATTATTGTGACATTGGTATCATAATTCTTTAATGTTATATGAAGATTTTTTTTCATTTAACTATTGACAAAAATTGGGATATATTAGTTGTGAAATTTTGACTTTTTATGAGTATTCTCTTAATCTCTCTCCTTCTGTTATATGAAATGGCTAAAGAGTTACAGACACCTAAGAGATAGAGGAATATAATGAAGGGTAGTGTTTAAAGTATCCTGTATAATGCAAAATGATAGAAAGTGTTTAGACAAAGTGGTTATAGCAACTGGTATATAATTCCTTGCATCTTGAACTCAAAATCGTTTCCTTGACTGTCAGTAAAATATTATTTAAACCATTAATTTGATTCAGATTTGGATTCATTATAAAACTATTACAGAAGAAGCTTTGAAAATGTGTGAGATGATGAAATAGAGTTAGTGAAGTAGTGAAGAAGAATTATGATGTTTTGTACTGCTTGAGTTGTCTTATCTAGTTGAGAAGTATTTTTATTAAACTAGGGGACTTGAACTTAACACAGATTTATACTCTACTTGGAAATTAATGAACTAAACTTTAACTTAATATGATCACTAATTACGATTCTGTGCACTCTTATTGATCCTTATTAGTAATGAATTCATATCTTACTCATAATTGGCTCATATAACCTGCAGTAAAATGAATCAAGTTAAGGAAAGTGGACCGACTAATCATAATGCACTGTCATATTATCTTAACCATTTATTTTAAACCTTTGTTAATAAATCAGGTGTGCCAATTGTTTTGATTGTCCGAGCTGCTGCCATACCCTCTCAACTCGGGCAACAAGCATTCAGGCTCCATCACCAGAGGACTCGAACAAGACCGTGGCCAGGAAGGTGTACTATTTGGCCTGTACCAGCTGTAGGTGGACGTCCAGAGATGTTGGTCTTAAAGATCAGACTGTTGGTAAGTTGACACCATTATGTCTAGCTGGTATAGTGTGTCTCGGAAAAATATTCACACGGTAACGTAGACATTTTCGTGGAGATCGAGTGAAAGCTTATATTAAAACCACGACATTATCCTCACTTGTAGGAGACCTCTTGATTTACATGAAATTCTCTAAGGTAACTTGTACATAATTTACCAAGAGACGCTGTAGTCTGCTTTATCCACCTTCTTGTTCTCATTGTTATGTATTGGTAGTGTCAACAGATCCTAATACATCAGTAATAGCTGTAGGTTAGAGTCTACATTACTCACACCATGAAAAATATCATTACAGTATAATGTCTGATAAGTTGCTTTTCAGTAGAGATTTTCACCTTTGCAAATACTGTACTGTAATCAAAGTTTATGTGCATTGGTGGTAAAAAAATGCTATAAATTATTTCTTTGGGGATAACGTATGTACAGTATTTAGTATTATTTCAGCTACGGGAGGTTGGTCAGAGCAAGATAATGAACACTACAAGTATCTACAGTCCCTGCTGGAACACTATCGATCTGTCGCCCAGCAGGAGAAACTTGACCGCGAGAGGAAACGATTCTCTCACCGCAAGTCTGCTTACCTTAGTCTGACAGACAAGTACAGCCTCCCATCTCTCTTAGGACGGAAATCTCTGACGCCCCTCTCGCCCTATGCCCCAAAGGTCTGATTTTGATGAATAGAAACGGAATTATTGTCCTTGACTCTATTAACACCTACAGCAGCTTATACAGTTTGTCTGGATGATATTGTTAGACCGAAATAGAAATTTAGAAATAATTTCATCCTATTTGATGTTTGCCTTCATAAGTATGGATTTCCTTAAGCATTTGTTCTTGATTCTGTAGATTGTAGAGGATATGTAAAAATGATAATATATTTAGTTTCTCATAATGCCCATAAAGGTGGAGGTTTTAAGAGGTGGGATCTGGAATTACAAAATCTTTACCCGATTTTAAATTACGAGAGATGTAAACCTCCTCCAAAAAGTATCTAAATGATTTTGAATGAGACGATAATTATGACAAAACGACGAAGGATTTTGACAACCTTACCTAGACAACAGGAGTCCTGGTGTTCATTCTGAAATTCATCTGACCACACCTTGAAGATATTTGTTTGAGTGAGTGTACAGGATTCTAGGCTATTAAGAATTTGCATGATCAGTGTGTGTTTATATGTCAACCATTGTTCCACAGGGTGATTCAAGCCAAAGCTTAGATATGACAGCCTCAGAGGCTACTGCCGAGGTGGAAGGACTTCCCGATGAAATATTTACAGAAGAAGTTGTTTTGTCCTCAGGTATGGGAAAGGCATTTGTGTTTATAACTTTAATTTGACATGAATGGGTTAAATTTACCTGGTGCATATTCACATTAATGGTAAAGTATACAGTATAATAGCAAATTGTCACCTATAATGTATGCAAATTTGAGGTACAATAGTTAATTATTATTATTTATCTCATAACTTTCATTTCAGTAACAGACATGGAACAGCGGATGGCCTCCCCCGAGTGGCAGCCCGAGAAGACCAGCGACTTGTATCCACTCCACAAACACATTCTAGTGAAACGATCTCTTCGATGCCGCCACTGTGAGCACAACCTATCTAAGCCTGAGTATAACCCTTCCTCTATCAAGTTCAAGATCCAGCTCGGAGCTTTGTAAGTTTGTGAAAGATCTCGTGTTTAGTTTGTTTATGAATACCCATTAAGTTACCCTAAAAGAAATGTTGTAGGTGTGTTATATGACCATTTTTGTCCAAGTGGGCAGGGAGTCCTCTAATTTTCATTTCCCCACTAAAGTTTTGCTATATAGTTTCACAGTCTTTGGAACATTTAAAAGATTACAACACATCCTATTGAGATGATGGTGAAGCTGTGAACATGACACAGTGGGCAGACACATTGAGGTAACTTGTAATTGAAGTTATTGATGGAAAATATTCATGAGTCATGTGCCATTGATCAAATAGTATGGTAGTCATGTATGATTTAATAAAGAGATTGGATCACCTGAAGATTCTCCACCCTAGCTTATCTCACCTAAAGATTAACCACTAACACTAATCTAACCTAACCTTACTGTATTAATGTGTTCTCTACAGCTACCACGTGCCTGAGGTGAGGATGATTCGTCAGGTGGAACTGAAGTCGGAGGTGGAGACTTGCGTTCAGGTTTCCCTCTGTAACCCAACCCCTCATGACATGACTCTAGCTTTCCTCCCATTTGTGCCAGAGGCTTACACAGCAATGCAGCAAAAAGGTAGGATAATGGGATGACAAATGAGGGTTAAGTGATATTGCTGTGACAAATTTCTCAAAAAAGTTTATGCAGTACCATTTTTTCGGGAAAATTCAATGACATTATCGTTTTATGGCCATTTTCCACACTTGCAAGGGTTAGCTGTGATTACCTGACAGTGCTTTACATGTTATGCAGTGGAGGAACCAACTGACGGAGGGAGCCTAAACACAAGCAGTATGGTGCGAGTGGTAGACATACCTCCAGAAAAGACTGACTTGACCCCCTCTGCTGATGTGGCATTACCACAGGGTCAGGTTATCCTGGCAGCTCGTGATGACACTGCTGAATATGATGACCAGGATTCAATTTCCAGTTACAAGGACGATCCCCTGTGAGTAGATAAGAAATATTCCCTTTTTAACAGTTTATGATTTTACTTCATGTAAGACTTCGTACACAATGTTACCTTTAGATATAAGACAGTAAGTCATTGTAAGGATCAATACTTAATACTGTAATTAGATTTGGAATTTCCCAACTCAAAATTATATAAATATTGCTTTTCACTCTATCCCAGAATTCTTCGAACCAAATGCCACTCGGAGGAAAAATATCTGAAATACTAAACTAACCATGTTGCAAAACTTCTACCACTTAAATGATATCACTAACAAACCTAGAGCAACAACGAACAAATTAATCTGAGATACTTATGGTTTCTGGAGGTACTGTAAGAGGAGAGGTATTCAACACAACCACACCTCACTGATGTTACTCTTCAACTGTTGTCTAAAACACACCCAGGTCCCCCACCCACCTACCCTCACCACCAGGACCAATCACAGTGCCCCACCACATATACAACACTGCTCTCCATACCAAGACAGCCAAGTTCTCTGCAGCTCTGATGACCAACACCCAATGCCATCTCTTGGGCAAACTCTTCCCTATATCATATTCTTACATTACAGTTCTTCATAATAACAATACAGTATAATTTGGGTTAGTTTCTGAGACTTGGCATTCCTTTACAGTGTGGTAGCATGGCGCCGAGCTAACAAGGTAGGCATCAATCTTTTGGTGACACCTAAAGCAAATGTCAGCCGGGCTAAGGTTGGTTTCGTGCTGCGCTACGACTACACAAACACCGTTGCTACTGCTTCTGAATCTAGGACAGTGACTCTTAATATTCCAGTAATGGTAGATGTTGGAACTGTCAGTGAGTAATGAATTATATTATTGATGGATACAATGTGACTTTAAACAGGATTTATTGTAAGATGTGATATTTAAATGTAAACTATAATTATTAGGCAATAATCAATAGACTTTAATTTTAATGTACTGGTATTGGCTTTTAGAGAGCTCATCTAATGTCACAAAGCATTTATATCAGATTGAAGTGACAACCGTTGACAAGTGGTAGTATGGGTCTCATTTTGTATTGCAGTTTGCCAGTTCCATTTCAAACACAGTATACAGTATATAAAAAGGACTACAGTAATTTGTGTTTATGTCAGGTATGATGCTTAAATTATAATATTATTCTCTCTCTTGATAATATTCTGTGGTTGCATTGTCTTTGCCAGTATATATACAGTAGTCCCTGCACCTGCGAGAAGAGGTTTGGAAAATTTTCTTCTCGTGATTTCTTTGAGCTAATCTTCTGTTAAGTAGTTCTAGATCAGCCAATTCCTAATCATTAAGGTAAATGCAGCTCTTTAACTTATATGCAATATATTATATATATGTATAATTTTCTTATTCTTTATTAAAAAATAAACACCTTCATATGTGTTTACAATATCAGTAAATTAATGGCTTGTCTTTGTATTTTGTATTTTTCCTTAGTTCTTTATTGAGCATAATATACCTGGCTTAAAGACCCAGGATGAACTGATTGATGTCTTGGTTCTGTTTACATTGTTCTTGAAAAACACTCTGGCTGGACTCCACATTGTGTTACAGAGTGATCTTCAGGTGAAATATATACAGTACTGCACTTTTAATCTACTAGACTACTACATTAACTGGAAAAGTTACCAACATACCTCAACTAAGTGATGTATGGCAAGAGAACAAATGCAGTATCTTATCTATTCAGACACGGACAATGATATACACATTCTTCAAGTCAGGAGAGCAATAGTAAGTTCCGCTCACTCACATCAGTGGCCACATCCAACAGTTGTTATTAGGTAAGTGAAACGTATTATAAACAGTTTAAAGTTTATTTTATTATCATAAATTAGATTCTTGTACAAATTATATACAAAATATAGCACACCACTGTTATACATAAATTACATTGTAAATCACCAATATCATTATGACAAAGAGGAAGTTACAACTGGAGAATATTTACAGTGTCACTATAAAGACTGCGCGCAAATAAATGACAGTGAAGAGGGTACACAAAATCTCCTTCATTCAGAACAGGAGGGCCCGGAGTATTGATTATCTAGGACAGTGTATTAAACACAGTGTTAGCCAGTGAGCAGTCCACCTGTGTGTTAAAACTCGGATGACCAAAAATCCTGGACGTCCTTGACCGGTCCAGGACAATGAAGAAAACACGTTAGCTTTGGTGAATGAGCAGTTGTAAAAAATCAGTGTTATATTCAATGTAGTAGTACTGTACTGTACTTGGTTTTCATGATGTTCTCATGATCATTCAGAAAGAAGGTATTGTACTGAATGTCTGGCAGAAACCGGGATGTACAGCAGTTATTATTTCAGCTGAAAGTTTTGAATTTGTCTATCATTAGAAATGGTCCTTCACATCTGACCAACACACTTTGCGTTGAAATTTCTTGGTAGAATGGCATGGAATGCTGCATTTAGGATATATTTTGATTGTTAAATGACCCTGCTTGTTGCTGCACAATTTCACTACTTCTGCATCTTAATTATATGTAAATAATTGGATGTGGTTAATGAGGTGTTAACCATTCCACCATGAAATTGGAATGGAAAGAGTGTTGGTCATCTATGTATGGAGCCACCTGAAGATATTTCAAGATCACTAAATTGCCACAAATTCAATACAGTATATCAATTCAGAATGATCGTGGGACATAAACAGAACCAGGTACCTGAACTTTAAACATCTCACTGATTTTTGACGACTCCAACTGATACATCAACATACATGAAGGCATATTAACAGTTGTCTAAGAAAGTTCTCATCTGCTATCCAGTATAGTATCATATGAAAAGCTGACTTGGCTCCCAAATATTAACAAACTTATTCCTAGAGCGTGTATGAAGACTTGACAGTTTTGAGATGGGCTGCCAAGTAATCATAATGTTTGAAATGGTGAATAAAATGTGCTGAAATCATTTAACTGTGCTAACTGTAAAGATTTCAAAAAAGTTACTAAGAGTTAAAGCAAGATGTACCATTTTAACCAAAATTTCAAACAGTTTGCAAGGGAGAATCATGAATGCCCTTTGAGACACTGCTGCTATGTAAGACTTAATGCAGTAACCATAGTAATATTGGACACCCTTTTTTCTGGCTAACATTATGTAGCATAATGTGAAATAACATTTACATTATATATATCAAACAATTATAAATTACAAGCACATATTTCACATGTGTCAGATGTCCTGAACAATCAAGAACCTGTCCAACCTGACCCTGGATGACAAAAATATCAGTGTACAGTTTGCTGTAATAATAGCAACACTGGGACCAGTTGGCCAGGGTCACATACATCCTTTACAATACAAACTACACCATCATCACGTATTTACAACTTCTTCAATTTCATTAAGCCTTGTGATTAAACATGAAGAACTGGCATATTGAGAAAAAAGGCATGTGATAAGTGATTGGTCTAGTGTGTAATTTTAAATACAGTAATGTATTGTAAACTTCAGTTGTTGTAATAACAAAATATTAACTGGTCTAGTACACATTCACAAACATAACAATAAGACATAGGGATGACACAATCAATGCAAGTCATCAAAATTGAGCAAAAAGGAGGAATGTCTACTGACACCAGCTACAAATTAGTTGAAAGTGACACGATTGAACGATCTGTGCTTTATAATTCACTACAGTATTTTAATATACAAATAGAAAATTAATTATAACACTTGCTATAAAATGTCAATCTGTCAGATTCACAACACACCTTGAATAAGCTGGGACATCACAATCACATATCTATGACACTAGATACTGAAGGGACTTGTCTATATAAAATCATATAAAAATCAGCAAATTATTCAAACAACACCATATACTATTACCCGATGGCCAACAAGCATAGGTTTATTTTCACACGAGGCAATACGAGGTAAATACAATGATGATTGACAAATTTTGAAAATAGATGCCACACACTTGAGTTGTCATGGAAAAAGACGACTCCTAATATTTTTAACATTTCTAGAGGGAAATTACAAGTGTTCAGACAGACTAGAAAATAATTATAGCAGTGGGGACTAGCACACCTTAGTGGAAATTGTGTGCAACAAGATGTTGCACCTTAGAAATGAATTTCCACAATATGGAAGAAAACGTAGGATGAAATTCACTACTTCCTGAATTCTGAAGCAACACATAATGGCAATGAAAATGCCTTACTGGTCTTATCATAGTGCCTCAATATACTGGCATACATAACACAGAACGATCATGTTTCTAAAAATTTGAGGGATGGGTCAAATTTCAAACATGAGTGCAATATAATTCACTGCTGTTTTTATCAAGCAACTGCTATATGAATGAGTGGTCACTGTCATGTAATGAGGTGAGGCTTCAGAATTTCTGCCTATGTCATATCCATACAGCACACGCTTTAGATATCCTGAATTATGGTCCTACTTTCACGACTAGCAATGTGTATACAAGATACCAGGAAGAACCACATAGCTATTCTGCAGTTCATGGGTAAAAAGTGACATTTCATTCAAAGGGAGATTTTACAGAATACGCAAAGCTAAAATGACTTCGTGAGTCATCTCCCATGAACCAGCAGAAGTGTTCTACTAACAGGCACAGGAGTTAGTTATCTGGAAGTTGGTAGCCACTAACAGTATAAGTTATCTCCTCAAATGAGATTCACCAGTGCACCAGCATATTCTGCAGTGTTTTGTATTATAACATCTGTACCTCATCTGGAAGTGGCAAAGGTTATCCTTAATCTACATATCACAAGATGGTTTTCAAAGATGGAAGCATATGTAACAGCATCCTCAATGTAGTAGAGTAGTATAATAATAATATCATCTTACATTGTATGATAATTCTCCCTATTTGCTCTTGTTAGTTTGGTCAGAGGATGAGTTTTTCCCTGTTGTTTCTTCTGCCTTACTTCTGTTCCACATGCTTGACCACGTCCTCCTGATGGAGGCTTATGAGAAGGTGCCTTTCCAGGAGGAGACAAACTACCTCCCGGGGTCATTTGTCTTACTGGAGTCTGTGGAGGTTGGGACTGTGCTCGGAGTGTTGGCTTAAAATTATAGTCTAGACTCGATTTGCGTTGAGGTACAGGCGGTAGGAACTTATCTGGTGTGGAACTGTCAGATTTTGCTCTTACACTCCTTGTTTGAACTTTAGGCAGCCTCTGCTCTTGAGTATCTTCAAATTTTACTACAAGACTTTTAACACAAATTTCTTCAGAAGGAGTCTCTTCCTCAAGATCCCTTACCTCTGCTTGTGTCTGAACCAATAGTTGTTCCAACAATTGCTCTGGGGAGCACCCAGGTGAAGTAGGTGATGTACTAAGGCGCTCTAAACTGTGAGATCTCTTTCTCATGCCCTTCATTCTCAAACGCTTCATTTTATCGACGTCTCTCTCCTGTTCTAAGGCTCGAGTAATTTTTTTAACCTTGCCCCCTTCAGCTTCGCCTTCAACATGTCCTTCAAATTTGGCTCTCTTCTCGGAAAAACTACGGCCGAGGTGATTTGAAAGATTAATTTCGGTTTTTTCTGTTTTAAGGTCACAGTAACTTTGAGAGCGAGTGTAGGTTGGTGGGGTAAGTTTCTCCTGGGTCCTTCTCATCTCTACTGAAAGTATTTCTTGATTCCTACTTTCCAGAAGTTCCTTATGTTGTTTCACAGTTCCTGGTGTAGGAACTTCTTCAGTTACCGAACAATTTGTATTATTATTGAACACGTTATTCCCGGGCGACTCTATATCGGGCGATACTGGAGTTGATCCCTGTGACAAAGATATAGTTGTGCAGGAAATATTAGGCTGTGATCTGGTTAGGTTCAAGGGATTTGTACTATCTGGAATGTAAATATTTAATGTAGGTGTGCTCTGGTGGTATTCCAAGAAATATTCAGAGATTTCCACCATTCCTTCATCAGTTAATTCTGTTGGAGCAACCCTTTCAACAGGACTCTTATAGGGAGCAGGGCCATATGCCTTAACACTTGCAACAGGTCTGATTTGAGAGGAATCTTCCACTATTCCTTCTTCTAAATCTTCCATTTCATTTGAGTTAATTTTATTATCTTCAATTAAGCCATCTTTTGTCTCAGAGCCTCTTCCTTTGTTCCTTCTGATGGTTCCTGGCGAGAATGGCCCTGGATCTTTCTCAAAATAAGTCCCTGCTATGTTACTATTTGGTATTACTGTTTCTAAATTTTCTATAAGAGGTTGTTGCTTTATATCAAATGGCCCAAAGGAGCTGTTTCTTGATGGTACAGTTCCTATAGTTCCCCTTGTGTCACATGATCCCCAAGAGCTCTGTCTAGAAGGAGTATCTCTATCTGCCAGAACCACAGCACTGTCAAATGATCCCCAAGAACTATTGCGTGATGGAGTGTCTTTTATATCTCCCCCAAAGGGTATAATGGCACTTAGTCTTTGCTGTTTCCTCTCCTCTCTGTCAAACACTTTGTCAAGTTTTACAGAGAAGGGATCATCCTTTTTTACTATATCTGACCCTACTGAATCTTGTCGTCCATAGCTTGGTGACCTGACTATTTCCACTTTTTGCAACTGACCACTCAAGGAACCAGATGAATTCTGTCTAGAGAGAGGTGAATCACCCTCTTTAGTATCTGAACTTGATTTAACATCATTCATTTTAACTTTCTCTTCAAAGTCTTGCTTTTGCCTCTTAACAATGCCTGCTGGCCATGTGATTGACTCTTTTGGCACACCCACAGGACTTTCCAGTGTATCCATGCTTTCTTCTACTTGACCTTTCTCTTCTTGCCATATATGTGATGGAACTAACACAGCCTGGAGTTTCTGAGCGGGTGGTTTAGTTTGTGACACGACTGGTTCACTGCCCAATAAATCTTCACCTGGTGTAAGTAGAGTTTCGATAACTTTATCTAATTCGGCGGTACTAGAATGATCGCTGTAATCATCACTAGATGTGACTGTGTTCTGTATCTGTATTGTATCTCCTTTCTTTGCATTTGGTGTTTTCTTAGTACCAGTTTGTACATTTTCAAATTCATTGATCCTATCTTTGACTGAGGAAGACAGTTGGAGTGCAGTAACTTCATTGAAGGTACTGCCAGTTGGGCTGTCAGTGTAAAGTGGATTGAGTGCTTCTACTACAGGTAAAGATGACCCGTCTTCCTTCTTGTCCTCTGGAGAGCCTTCTACACTCATGTCACGAAGGTCCCTTTGTTGCAGTGTTACATGAGCCCGCCATGACTGCACATTAAGTGACTGAGAAAGGCGCCATGAGTCCCCCAAATCACCACCACCTGAAATGTCAGATATCAGAATTTAGAGATTCTCAAAAACTTGTAAATTTGGTAAGAAAAAAGTATCATTTAAGTTAATTAGTATAATCATTGTATTCAATACCGGTATCCTTTTTTGAAATATGAACAAATAATATATATATTTGCAACCCTCTCAAACATTTTCTAATACCCCCTGTATCCATAATGCTACCCAACACCTCTTTCACACTTCCTTTCTCGATAATTATTCTCCGCATCCTATTCACCCCCATTATTGCTCTCAACCAGTCATTCCTGCTCCTTCCCACTGTATCTACAATCCGTGCTTCTCACATAAAATACTGTACATACTGTACTCTTATTTCTGCTTATTGAGTACCCTGTGCATTATAATCTTTGCCTACTTTGATGTGGTTCTCTCTCCATACATTTCCTTTTGGTAGTCTTTTATTCATTACCTTGCTCGTAGTCCCACTTGCAGACACAACCACTCCCAGAAATCTGAAATATGCAACTTTCTCCAGTCAAGTTAACTTTTATACTACAGTACAGTATTTCTGTTTCCCTTCCCTATTTATTTTCCTGTACAGTATATATCACAACCAAGTACAGAACCCAGTACTTACCCTCCTCCATATTTTGTGGAAACAGTAGTCCAGCAGTGTGATCGTCCGGTGACCATGATTTTGGCCGTCGGTTCTGTTCACCATTTTGGAGATTACTCGGTGTTGGTATACGAACACTGAGAGAGTTAGAAGTGGAGTCACAGGTCATAAATTCTTCTGTACTTTTACGTCGACTCCCCTTATTAGTGTGATCCACACCGTCGTTCTGAAAACTTCTGTTGGCTTTGTCAGCTCGTGCTTGTGCTGAAGTTGACTTGAGGTTTGTTTCAGATTTACTTCGCCACAATATGTTGTGTCGCTGTCTACTAGCATCAAGAATCCCCTGAAAAAACAATACAATCATAGATTAATTAATTATCATAAAATTAATTGGTTGTTGACTAAAGATTAAGAACCTAAGATACCAAAATAAAATAATTGACAAAAGGTGAACAAACTGCTGTTATCTGACTCAAATACATCCACAAAAAGTTTATAAACCACAGATTAATATATGGATGCATAAAGTTATTGAATTATGGTTGTGTAATGCCCTTGTGTTGAGTGACTGACTGTAATTTATTGAGACATCATAGAACACATCTGGTGAGGTAGAGAATATAAGTCAGTGTTTCTCTTGATTCCACATACACATTTTAGAGACTTTCTGATCACTCTAAATCTACCTCCGTGTTCCATTATAAGTTATGTACTTTGGCTACCTGACTAAATAATACTAACCTCATAAGTTTTCAGTTGGTTACAAAATGCTTGGTTTGGTTTGATACAGGTCCTCTTCTTCTTAACAAGGGCGAGAGCTTCTTCAAGATTCATATTAAAAGCCTTCATGGCGTAGGCAATCACAACTGATGCTGACCGACTGATCCCCATCTTGCAGTGAACTAAAACCTTAGAATTCTTTTTCCTGTAAATGGTTGATTGAATTTAGTGTTGCAAATCATTGGTCACATTACTGTATTGTCTTAGCACATACTGGAGTTTAAACTCTCTAGTTTTATTACACAAAATAAATAATTACGTACTGATAATGAAGTTCAAATTCAATTACAGGCAAATAAATAAAGCTAATCATTACATTATCATTAAAGACTGTAAATGTGTGGATGAAAATTAAGATTCCTCTCACCCTCCTTTTTCAATTTCCTGGTTACACCATTGGCTCCAGTCCTAGCCATTACAACTGGGTCTCAATCCTAATGACTTGATAATATTGGGGTCTATTGGGACTGGGGCCCCATCACCAAATGTTAACTTATCTTTACCTTAACTGCTACAAATTACAATAAGATATATACCAAATGGTCACTTATACTCACTTGACTTGTGTAATATATCTGAAGGTACTGTCCCAGTGTTTGAGGAGCTCGGTCTTCTCGTCATCGTAAACACGGATGTTGAGGTAGTCGTACGTCCCGGGGTAGAAATTGTCAATCTCCTTGGTTACATTAAGGATGTAACCCACCCTGGATGAGAGAGAAAAAACATCCTGTATCCTGTACACTTAATAACATGTGTGTCTTGTGTCTAGAGAGATGTGGTACTAAATGAAACAAAGTGTGATAATATTAGTCTACTAAACTAAGTGTACAGCTAACAGTTCAGTACAGTACCTGGCTATGGTAAATAAGATAGAAGGATCAGAAGTACCATACATGTATACTTATAGTAAATTCATAGCAACAGTCAATGAACTACATGTCATGCAATACTCACCCATTAGACTGCAACTCCTCTAGGTTAGAAGCATTCCACTCTGATCCCAGGTACACGTGAGGGAATATCTCCGTTGCAGCGTCCATCTGGCCTAAGATCACCAGCATCTCTTGGTCAATGTACGACTTAAACTTGAAGAGATTCATAGCCAAGTCCTCTTCGAGCCTCTGTCGGATGTACTTGGAGGTGACCTCATCTATGTCAACGCTCATCATTATTTCTTTCAACTTGCTGCGGATGAGGAGCTGGGTTTCCTCCCTAAACGGATAAAATGAGGGAGTTACACTACAGCACATCATTAAACCACACTACAGTAATCTAATTGAAAGCTTATACTGTATGTAAATGTGTATCATAAAACCCATCAGAGTGCAGTACAGTATATAGTATTGTTGTATTGTATTTCAACTCAAAACTACATTAATTAAAGCAGCTGCTGTACTTAATAGTCAACTTTACCCAAAATTATCAAGTGTAAATTATTTTTTATAATCAGGAGATAAAATATGACACAGTTATTCATAGACAAGAGAGAAGGAAACACTGTAGGTCTATGGATCTCTTACTTATCAGTGAGGGAGTCTGGTGAGGGGGGTCTCTTAGACTCGAGGCTGTCCATGGCGTTCCACTCATTAATACAGGACTGGTCGGACCCCACGCCTCGCACGTAATAGCCCACCCAATCATGGTTGATGCCGCCCAAGAAGTAATGGGAATCTTGAGCTCTTGAACTTGACTTGTGCAGAGTTTGCAAGGCCGACCTGGAGGCAAGGAGAAAGAAAAGTAGAAGTTAGATCATGTATTGTTGTGCATCACTGTTACTTCTAAATTACCATACAAGAAGAAATATACTGTATAACTTAATATCTATCACATCAAAGTCCACATAATGAATACAAAATTAATACATAGACAATACAGTACTTTTCAAAGCACTGGGAATACATAAATCAAGTACAGCTGTAGCTACATCTACAGTATAAAGGCATAACCTGATACTGTATTCTGCACTTTGTCTATGCTGTACTACTGTATAGTGATATATAAAAGCTTCATAAATTTATTATAATGATATTCTAAATTTCTATATGAGTAATGCTCGGGGATGAAAAATGAAGAGAGTAAACTTTCTAAACTTGTTGGCTTGCTGCTGCAGTTGGCACAATCATCAGTGCCAGCTCAGATGGTACTCGTCCACCACCAATAATAGTCACCTAACCAACCCCCCAGCACCATCAACTACCGCAGCAAAACTTAACAGGAAATTCTTGCATAGTTACCGACAAAGAATACTCATCACTAAAAATACTCAATTTACAATAAGCAATAATAATAAAATAAATAATACAAAATAACCAATACAAGTATATAACTAATTCAATTCAATTATGAACATTTAATGCATACACCGTCTCACCTTTCAAACTGATAGACTGAACCATTGTTTCATTTTATCCCTTGGCGTCTCAAAAGCTTCATTTCTCTTATACAATACAGTATTCCCAAGGTGACACAATACCACTATTTGCATAACCATGACAATGTACGTAGGAAGAATAGCCTAGTTATGTGTGTGAATAGCAGTAATCAGGGATATTTGTTTCTGAGATGTTATGCTGCATAGTCTTGCGTCATGTACCGCCACCACAATATATTTTCACTCATTTTCTGCCCAAACTTTTAAGTAGTGGAGTTGTATACAGTATTGAAGACAAGTAAAATACCGTTGTAAGGTCTTCCTCACTCCTGGGAATATCCTCATGTGAAGGCCACCAAGATTTCTCAGCCACACCGGTCCTGAGTGGTGGTGTAAGATTAGACAACAATCATGATGGAAGGGGGATACTTGATGCCAGACAGACAGTCCCCCTTCCCTCCCACCCTATCCCACTAACTGTCTACCAGCCAGCCCGAGTCCCCCTTCCTTCCCACCCTGTCGCACTAACTGTCTACCAGCCAGCCAAACAGTCCTCCTTCTTTCCTTCCATCCCATCTCACTAGCCATGAGGGAATGGAGAAACTTGACGGCAGCCAGACAGTCCCCATTCCTTCCCGCCCCATCCTACTAGTCATGAGGGAAGGGGAAAACTTGACCCCAGCCAGCTAGACAGTCCCCCTTCCTTCCTTCCATCACATCCCACTAGCCATGAGGGAAGGGGATACTCGACGCCAGCTACCCAGTTCCCCTTCCCATCTCATCTAGTTCCTCGCAGGGCTGCAGGAGGACACACTCTCAAGATACACCATAACCTGTTTCTCTGCACCTTCAAATTTTTCTCATACAAGTCACGCTCAAGTCGTCTTCCTCATCAACACATTCTTCTGTCATAGCTATTCCTGGAAGTCGCTCTTTTAACGGTATCTTTAAATACCAACATGAACAAAACGGATATCGGTTATTTTCCCAGTATTAAAAAGGGAGAGAGAGATTACTTGATTACTTAATTAAATGAAAGATGCGGTTAGTGTAGTGTTGCCAGCGTAGTATCTTCTCCAACAATACAACACGACCAACCTAACTTGTGGACAGTATAGAAACAGTGAATTATGAGAGAAATCTTAATTTACTGCCGCTGGGCCCCCCCGTTCTTGCAGCTTGTATACTGATCACAGCTGCTGGGAGAGGGTGAGCCAAGACAAATTACAATATTTTGCTCATCTTAACACTACATTAAGTATGGTGGAGATACAGTGCGTTACGGTAAGTGAAACGACAATTTTCAATACTTTTTTTTTATAATTTAACTAAATAAATTACATAAGGTCAATACACATGTAACCAGATCACTTTCTATTGCATTTACTTAAGAAAATATAGCACGTGCGAATATTAGAAAAACCAACGACTGAGTCTTATTGATAATGAACTTTATAATACGGTAATCATAACAGACAATAAATGAAAGTTAGATATGATTAATGTGGAAGTGGTGAGGGACAGGCAGTGGGGAAGGTAAAGTGAATGTTAGTTACTACGTGAGGGTCGAGATATGTTGCGTCACCTTGCCTCGCCTCGTCATGACATACTGTACACAAACATTCACAAAGAAACACGTAAAAAACACAAACTTTGCAGTGATATTTCAACTACAATAACCTTTTTCATACTTCAACACATGTCTGGTTTCAATCTATTGTTTTTATTTTACATTTACGTATAAGAATATCTAAACTTTCCTCACTTTTATTTTTAATTTTACTTCATATAACAAAACGGGAGACTAATCTTATTATTCAAACGCGATTTTAGAGGATCAAATACGAACGATAATTAACAAATCAAGTTTAAAATAGGAATAATTTTCGTTTTTATTAAGCTAAAGACGCTTAATATGGCTATAGAGAAGAAGAGTCATATCAAGAACACGACCACAAGCCAAGGTAAAGTGGCGGGCTGAGCTTGCGTTACATCACATTGGGTTCTGGACTAGGCTAACCAAGCAACACTTAGAACGTCAGGAACACATATACGCACAACCTGAGCATCGAGAATAGTGCCACAACTCCACCTTCCTTGCCTCTGTCCTTCTGTTATTCCTACGTCAATTAGGGAGTTTTTTTTTATGCATAAGTAGGAAGCCCCACAAGCAATGGTCGTGATCGCCCCATCCTTGACCTCCCCCACACTCACCTAGCAGCGTCACCTATCACAAACTCGGTGACGTCATCCTAGACAACCTCAGGTTCCCAAGAGTTCCAGGCTTTCAGCGTCTTGTTTCCTGCGGTTTCCGGCCCCAAGACCTATTCCTGGGGCATCTTCAACGTATTGTGAAGGTCTGGTTATAAAAGGGACTGTCACAGCAACAAAACTAGCACGACTAACAGCTGTTGACTGATTAGTATGGTAAATTAAGAAATGAGCTCTAGTGAATACGCTGGTTAGGTATGTTGTAACATCCATTAATTTACGAATATTTCATTACTTACAGCGAACAGGTTTCATGCCAAACTGGAGGAACAGCAGAAATGAATATCTACCTCGATCGAGTACTTGACAATAACTAGAGCACCAAGTTTTTTTTTTATCCAGTTCATTATGAGTCACAAGCTACCTCGACTGGATAATTTTATTACGATTATTTTTTAGTCTCAGTTTTTATCCAGATTCCCGTGTATCCATTCTTTTTTAATTAGTGTTCTGTAAATATGACTCCGTTTAACTGGTGGGTGTAGTGTGGAAGACCCGACTTTAAGGGTTTCTCCCAGCTAGCACATCCGTACACAACAAGCTTGATTATGTAGCTCAAGACAGGAAGCACACACATTGTAATCACAAACAAACATTAAGATTACCACTCACGATATCTGTTACGTTATTATCATCAACATTGTGAAAACAGAGTAAATGTCAATTCGTATTATCTGGCCGAGTGTACGAATCGTCAGGAGTGTATACAGAGACTTACAAACACACAAACATCGTCACTGAATGTTTATTGTCTCGACTCGCATAACAACTCAGACACCTCCTACATAACTCAGTATCAATTAAAGAAACAAACGTATAATATTAAATAGGAGGGGAAGACATTGTGCAATTTCTATCTGCTTGGGTCATAAGATAACTAGCATTTGTTTTCGATGAGTCTCTAAAAGAAATCGTCGAAGTATATATATATATTTTTCTTTCAAATGGTGAATTGGGTGAAGGTTAAAATAATAGAAATTTTTTTAACTCAAGGGAGAAAAGTTACAATGTTTATTTCAGCTGTGACCTCGTGTCCACCCCATTCTTCCTCCCTGTTGTCACAAACACTCTCTCTCTCTCTCTCTCTCTCTCTCTCTCTCTCTCTCTCTCTCTCTCACCACATCGCCAATTATTCCTCAGTCTTCCAGAACTCTTGACCAAGTTTCCCCCCGGCTGGTCACCACCGCATCAAGCTCTATTAAAACTAAATTTCCCACATAAAATAAGGATTGCGCAACTCGTGTGTAAGAAAACTTTATATGACATAAAAGAGACAAACTTAAGTTATTTCACGTGAGAGTGAAAGCGGAGGTGGGCGCGGCGGAGGTGGTCGTGGCTTGGCGTGTGGTGGGTGATATCTTCCCAGGGACGGACACCATTTCACACTTAATAATTACAAAAGAAAACACGTATATGATAGTGATTAATCAGTTACCAATAGTACAAAGAGCTATCGAGAAAATATATAAAGGCCAGAGAATGATTGATACGTTATGTAGTGTTATCTGTCACGAACCATCTTGCACCACACGGCCTAAGACACGCTAAGGAGATAACTGTGGGAGGATATCAATCGACCAAAGTGAATGTCTTTAGTATACATATGACAAGAGGTCTTCCTTTCACTAGTCTCTGCGGGGGAGGGCTTGAGAGGGGAGTGTGATGCCCCCACCCCCCCACCCCCCCGCTAAGTTCCGGGACACATACATATTTCTCGTAATTTCCCAACACAACTGCAACTATGTATTCCTTGACCCTCACCTAACCCACAACACACTTGCTCTCTCTCACACAACACACTTGCTCTCTCTCACACAACACGATCTTCGCTTCACTGTGGATTATGACTACTTTAAAAGACGTCTTGACCATCGCCTTGTACTCGGCTTTCACTATGTAGCTCTTAAGTTCAGCCCTGCCTCATTTTCAAGCCTTGGGTACAGGTTTGACTCTCGATATGGGAATGCGGTGAATGTGTGTCCATGAACCACAGAGTCTTCAGCAACGGGTCTCATGGTTGTCAGTTTATCATTTGTAGTCTTAGATGCGGTGTTCACTACTCTACGCCAACAG